TTTGTGGATCAGTACGGGCTGAAGTTTTTCACGGCCTTCATCCGTTATGGACTGTTACTACTGATCCAATTTCAAAAAACCGACTTAGTATACAGAAATAATTTTGAAATCACATAAATATTTATGAAATATTTCTAGGAAATCATTTTCTGTGATATGTTGTTTTGATAGTCACTGATAATTTGCTGTTTTATTCAGGTACTGTATTTGCTTCTAGCCATTTTTAAAATTTTTTTGGGCAGTACTTAAAAAAACGAAAAGAAAAACACATACTGTTGTAAAAAACTTCTCAAAAGGATTTATAACAAGCGAAATTGTCGAAGGAAGCAAAAGTAAAAACAACTGAAATTGCAGCGGTTATATGAATGTACAACAGAGTTGCTTTTGTTTTGTCCAAGCCAAAATCGGGTTAATTGACTTTACCATACGTTATTTTTTTATATAAAAATGAATTTTGGTTTTTTGTTTTAGGATTTTAAAAAGTTAATAAAGTACCTAATTTAAAACAAGAAAAACTTTCTTATTTTCTTAATTTTTAAAAAAGTTACAGGGCATTCATTCTCCTTGTAATTTCAGTTGCTTTAGTTTTGGCCACCAGTGTATATCCTCAGTCCATTTGCGATTGTTTTAATATATTTTTTACTTTTGTTGTGATTATACAAACTGTTGACCCTCTACGACGTAGATTCGGGAGGAATGGGCCAATATTGTCCATTTCGTATCGGACCTACATAAATATCATCTAAATATTGTGACGTGCTAGGTGTTGACTACATTGGTTACTTCCATCACAATTTTATGCGAAATCATAAATTCCATAGTCATCTTAGGTTTCGGGTTGAGATAAATATTTAGATATGGCATGTTGTAAAGAATCCCCGACTTGTTTCGCATGTTATGACAGATGAAAGTATGGCAAATTGTGAAATTTGAGGAGAGTTGGATGTTTATTTCGCGTTTTGTTTTTTTCAAAATCTTGAACCCTATGTATGGGCGAGTTACCAGAAGGAATGGTCCGATCTCTACCATCTTTATACTAGATCATGTGTTAATGGAATTATTGAGATGTACCAAGTCTGAATGGAATCGTATGTTAATTTCGCGGTTTATGATATGATATTGACCTAACACAGATGCAAAGATTAGGATTTCTCATTCGGTGCAGTAAATTATTTTCTTTGAAAATGTTGAAATTTTGTGGGGGAGGTGCCATAAAGAGTGGACCGGTATTGCCAACTCTGAACTCGAACTACGTTAGATAATAATATTACGATGTACCAAGTTTGGATCAAATCAGATACTCCCTTCGAGAGTTATCGTGTGCACCAGCAAGATAGATAGATGGAGGGACATCGCCAGATCGACTCCAAATGTCCTGCAACGGATTTGGTCCGAAGATACCTAGGGTCTAAAAGGGCTATTTCGATGAGGCACGTTTTGGCCGTATCAAATGATATATACCCCTTCTAGCCACATGTCTGAGGGTATAAATATTGGAAATCTAATGCAGAGGGCGTATGATTTATTTCCCTAACACGGAATGCCCAGTTGGCGTATGAATATTTCCTTTTTTTAATTTCCGACAAGTATATACTTTTTTAATATAAATTATCACTGTAGCACAATGTCGAAATTTTTCTTGATAAGAGAAAACTGGCTGTTATATTGTTGTCTACTCGATCTATCCCAAAACGGAAACATTTATTCTTCCCACAAGGTGTAATATGAATTTAAATTTTAACAGAATTTGAAAATTTGTAGGTGAATGCTATGTCCTATCATGGTACAACTAGGATGTAGAACAGCTTCTTAAAACAACTGAAATACAGTCCTGAGACTGTCAAACTATATGCGACAAGTTTTTTCTTTAAAAAAATATGGTCCCAACTTTTCGATCTTTTAATTCCATGGTAAAAGTGGTTACTATCATTAATGCGCGCCCCGCAGTTTTGTTTTTATTTTTCAAAACAATAAATACATGAAAAAAATGGAAGAAAAAAATTGTAATCAGCTGGTGGCTCTACACCCTGGAAATGATGAATGCCATCGACAACAAACAAACAAATATCTCAATTTCGCATTTTACAATTGAAAGTAATAAAGTGCTGTGTGAACTGCGAGGACATATGCTTTCCGCAGGATTTGGAATTGCCTAAATCAACACTCGAATTATAGATGTCGAGTGTTGGCCGACGTTTCTGGCAATATATTCATGGTCGATAACCAGCGATTGCGAAATTTAGAAAATAAATCCAGGTGTACTCTTCAAACTATATGGGGAATTTCAAGTTAGGCCTACATATGTGTGTGCTCTACATACACACACATGCACAAAAAGATGTTTTTATACTCAACAAAATGTACGCGCAACGACGAGTGAGTGACGACGTGAATGAGGAAGGAAGTGTTCTCGCATACGTCACTTGGCCGAGCGCCAAGAGAGATGATGGTGGCACCCAGAGAAAAGGAAAGAACTAGATATCTTAACATTGCATCGCATTAAAGCAAAATGTATGCAAAGTAAATCTGACAATTCCTTTTTAGTATTCTTCTTCCACGTATTGCATGTGGCATATACATGCATTTATTTTGTTGAAACCGTATCAAAGTTCAAGCCACGACATTGCAATGCGCCAAACGTAGAACACTGTCATACACACATACATACATTTGTTTAGAAGTATGTATGCAACATTTTTAATGCGCTCAATTTTTTCCACTACAGGACCTACTAATGTTGCTGTCAAAAAAAAAATACAAAAAATAGAAAATAAAAAAACGTGGCCTATTTAGGGTCGGCCAGTAAGCCCATCTGACAACTACATTTGCTGTCAAAAGTCATACTTTGATTTGAAATTTAAAGAGAATCGAATAGTACTAGTCCAAATTGTTGTCTAAAGTAAACTTCTTGGCCTATAATATGAAGGCCTAAAAACAATTTGGTTCCCACTTATTTATCGGTGCTGTAAAACGCACTTTCAATTCCGTTGATGAAAGAAACTGTTTAAAAGAATTTATTGTAAACATGATGGATGCTTCCCGGCCAAAATTAACATTTTTTACCTTGGTCTGAAATTCTGTGAGTTGTCAACACTGTTTTGTGTAACAGCATTACCATGGCGTATTTACAAGGTGACAAGGTAAGGTAGCTGTTGCCTTCTTTTTATACCCTCAGTCATATGGCTAGAGTATATCATTCGAAATAACGGTTTTAGACCCTAGAGACCAAATCCGTTTCCAAGAAAATATTTCACTGCTCAGAAAGAAAAGGGATAATCCGACTTTGTTCCAACTTCGCATATCCTTATATTTGCACCAGTGCTAGGTTAGGTGCGAAAATTGGCAATATCGGCCCACTTCATCAAGTACCTCCCCCACAATGGGTTAACAAATTTCAAATTACACACATTACAATATTTTTAATAACTCTATGCCTGGTGTGATGATGGAGTATATCAATCCACTACTTCCGGTACCTTCCCCACAAAGGGTCAAAATTGTTAATACCCTTGAAGCTCATAAGACGTGGAATTAACATCCGATTCCATGTAGACTTGTAACATCTCAATATTTCTATCAACACAAGGTCTGTTATAAAGGTGGGGGAGATCGAACTATTCCTTATGTTACCTCCCCCACAAAGGGTCAACATTTTTAATATCCATGAAACTCATAAAACGCAAAATTAATATCCGATTCCATTCAGACTTGGTACATCTCAATATTTCCTAACACAAGATCTGTTTTGAAGATGATATATATCTGTGTACTCCTTCCTCACATACAAAGGGTCACAATTTTCAATTGGGAAACAAGTCGGCGAAAATGGAATACTTCCGTCGACTATATCTGTACCTCATGCACATATTAACATTTTCTAAATATTATCACATATCTTAGACAAAGTGAAGTAACCAAAGTAGTCCAAACTTGGCAGGTTGCAATATTTATATCATATTTATTAAGGCCCGAGACAATATGGACAATATTGATCCACTCCTTCCGAATCTACTCCACAATTTGAATAATCATAACACATGTCAAAATATTTAAATAATCGAAAATTGGCTGATTGTCTATCGGCTAAGCCGATTGACACTTTTTTACTTGTTTATTTAAAATTTTATTAAAAATATTTCTTTTTGGGCAAAATATACATTTGCTACATTGAGATGTTGAATTCTGTGAAATTCTCCTTTTGATGGAATTCACGTCGAAAACTTTTGACAGCAAGAAAAGAGTAAGTCCTAAATTCGCCTTCTTTGCGAGCTTATTAAATATGGGGTACGCGGTCGAGGTTTACACTACAAAACCTTAACACATTATGTGAATACTGTAGTCTCGGTTTCGGATCTTGACAAAAATCGATATAACAAATAATATAAAGAAAAAAGCCTATGTTTGATTATTTTGTCGATTTTTTATAGTCCCAATAGTTTCTAACTAAGCAAGAGGTTAAAGATGCCTGTCGGTTTGAAATTATAGGCAATTTCAATTTTTTTTTTCAAAATGTCTGAGGTAATTCGGGACATCAGCAGTACTTAATGTGTATTTAATTCCTTAATGGACCATTGGACAAGCCCAAATACTTGGAACGACATTTTGCCACCTTTTTTTGTAAAAACTTAAACTTTAATGTCATTGCCTTGGCAAGAGGTGTCCCTTAATGCGATATCCGGTCAGAGGAATATGACGACAATGATGTCACTTCGGTGGCTACGACGATTCCTGCCGGTGCTAATTGTACCTGGGTGCATAATCTAATTTGGGTCGGCGCTTCCACACTTTGGTTTGTTTATAGTTCAAGGCTCACGTTTCACTTGTTCAGCCCCTCCCTCCTCCAAAAACGAGTAGTGCGTCATGATATTCAAGAGTAAAATATGTAATTTGGCTAATGGCGGAATGAGCACTTAACAGAGCTCTTCTTAACAGGGTGTTTAAACTGTTGATGGCAATGTAAAGTTGGATAAACAAATAAATGTGTGCCGTTTCCATTACAGGTAGCCGGAAGCCGACAGGCGTCATCTTCGGGATAACTACTCTGTGACTTACGCAATTGTTCTCGCATTGTTTCCACGGCGCAGGGATAACGTCAGCATTTACTATACCCACGGACACAGCTGGACAACTTGTATCTGAGAACAATACGACCGCAAGGACAACAGCATGGATGAGGAACACGACGACGAAAGAATATGAAATTCAATGGGGCTTTAAAGCCCCGCCACGGAGCCTCCATCGAAGGAAGCTCCCCTGGTGCTGGACAATTGCGAAAGCATCGCGTTAAACAATATCCCCAAGATATTTGTGGCAATGCTCAGAGCGAGTCGTTGCCCCAGCAGCAACAGCGATACCCGCACCATCACCTGCACCACCCCTTCGGCGACATCGAATGTGGTGTAAAAAGCGAAGAAATCAACACGACTTCCATCAGCAGCAAGGATAATAGATTCAAGAACTTACTCTCAAAGGAACGGCAACATCAACAGGCGCAGCATCTTGGCAAGCACCCTGATGAGCAGGGAATGGGCAATGATGCAGCACGAATGAGACCTCAGATTTTTACTCAACCAAGCAGGATCACATCGGTCACAGTGGCACAAAAACTAACATCGTTTATGGGTAGTGGCAGTCGGGGCACCGTAGCGTGGCGACAGGCTAGCGGCGCTCTGGGCGGGGGCGGAAGTCACGAAATACACGCCGTTATTATACCCAAACAAAAGCAACAACTAATCATCACAACGCGACAAGAAAAGGAACACGGCAACAACCGCAACAACAACAACAGCGACATCCAAAGAACCAACTCGCCTAACAACGAAAATACAAAGCGTCCAAAAGCCATAGCTACCAGTCGTCCCAGTAGAACAGCTACCAACCCTGTGACCAATAACTTTGACGACGACGACAACAACAAGAACAAGAAGTTAAAGGCTAGCTCGAAACTCTTGGAAATCTGCGACTGGCGTGCACTGCCCTTCCCGTCTGTAATATTTTCCAGATTATTTGAACAATTTGCCTTATTGCTGCTCTGGTTCGGATTGTTAATGCCCACGACCGGAAATACAGTTAGTGGCAACGGCAGTGGTATTCGGAACGGGCATTCCGCTTCTCGTGTCACGAAATATAATAGAATAGCGAAAATTATGCGTATCCCACAATCGTTAATGGCCTCATTGAAGCGCATTTGTTTTAAAAATGCGTTCCAATCACGTTTACCGCTCACCACCACCGCCATCACAACCGCCCCGACAAAATCATGCGCCCTTACGTACCTGCTGCTGTCCTGTGCAGTGGCAGCAGTTCTGCTGCCGCAGCAGGTTTTGGCGGACGACGGCGATAACTTCTTCTCGCCCAACGGCATTGTCATCGGAGAAACAACAACTGAATTTGGTGAGTATACGCATCGGACGCATCCATACGTATGTACGTACGATGTAGTTTTTGTTTATACATATTTACATCGAGATCTTTTTCATAGTTATTGAACAAAGAATATGTAATAATTATTGGTGACCATCTTCAAAGTTTATTTGGAGAGAGTTTTTCAAGTCTTTTCGTGAGAGTTTTTCACTTATTGCACGATGGGTCTTCTTATTTGTTGAAGGCAAAAGTTTAAAAATGTGCTTTTGATTTCTCTCCTTCTCTGGTTTCACCCCAGATTTTGCTTTCTATATAAAACACGAACTTTATGTTCTATAACGGTGGCCAAACTTATTAACCAGGCCATGATCCTCGAAATACTCATAATAGACCCTATAAAGTATATATTCTGGATCAGCGTAAAATTCTAAGACGATCTAGCAATGTCCTCCCGATATTCGGTATTTTCATAATTTTAGCGACATTATTTACGGAATCGTTTCAAATTTCGTATTTAAAGTTCGTAATGGGTACTACAGGCTATGTTTGAACATTTTAAATCTGAATTTTGATATGGAGCTAGAGTTTACCAAAAATTACAAATTCAAATTCATTTTTTGCATGCCGTAGGAAATCTATTGCTTGATCGAGACATTAAAAGGCCGTATGCATTTTGTCCCATATTTACAGTTTTATGTCTCGATTGGTCTGTAATTGCGACCTGTAGAGAAACTGCAAAATCAGGACAATTTACTTTTTTTTGGTCCATTTCAACCCTTAAATATTTGGTCCGTTTCAACCCCAACAACAATAGGCTATTACATAATTTTTAACCAAATCAAACATACACATAGTGGTGTAGGGTATAAAAACACGCTAAATTTACAGGTGGCATAATAATATGTGCATATTATTTGAAGAAAGTCGTTGTTAATTAGAATAGAGTCCAATCTCCCTCTTTGATTGTCAAGTCTATCCCTTTTTCTGTGAGAAAAGAAACACGACCGCTTCGTTAGGGTGCTATTTCAATTCTGATTTTATTTAAAAAATATGTTTCTTAAGTGCTACTGAAACTAAATTAACTTAACCTAATCGCAGCCACACAATTATTCTTATCTATTCTAATATTGAATGGAGAACATTGCGGGGCTGCTTGACATCTCATTCAAGTGGTCTCGTGCATCTACTGAGCGCATCGATATCTGTGCGTGTGGGTCATAACCTTTATTATCTCACACATTATCGTACGCGTCAGCGCACAAGATCACTGAATTGTTCACATGTGGTATTTCATGGCGGCTGGGAAATATGTAATTTTAGAATATTTATTGTTTATTGCTAGATTTCCCCAGCGCGTCAACCGCACTCAAAAGTATGTACAAAGTATTTTGTACAGTCGTAATGACCATTTTTATAGAAAATTTTAGGACAAACAATATTTTCACAGAACTCATCGTTTTCGGAAAAATTCTGACAACTAAAAATGGTGATCTTTTACCCCGATTAACAGTTTTTGCAGACGTGGAATTACTGGCGATTTTATGCAATTGAACACCCTTTTCTTATTATTTATTTTGACTGTACCATATATACGTTTTAATTTCACTTTCACCATGCCCACGTCTGCCTAATTCCTAAAGTTTCAATAATTAGTGATTGAAAATGAATCCTAAAGACCTAAATAAACCTCACAAGAATAACTAAAACGATGAAATCAAATTAAAACGAGTGTAGGCAAAACAATATGTAGTTCTTAGTAGGTTTAGGCTTAGTTATGCCTCCTGTTATTATGCCATGATAACAATCGTCTTAGACGTTGCAAAAACTTCGTTGACAAACTTCTTCGACAACCTTTAAAAGATATTACAACAAAATTTAACTGCTGATGCGATTAAATTGCTGGGATTGATTATTCGAATAAAATCGGAATCCTATTTTTGGGGTTATACAAAAAATTGCATTGAATTTTAGCCACTTATGGCCATCCGTTCGTCTGTGGAAATCACTCTAGCTGTCGAACGAATTGAAGTAGGTCGATAAAATTTTACTCAAAAGTGTGTTTTGATATTGAAAATTAAATGTACTGAAAATGGGCTACATAGGTCGACATTTAGTTCGGTATTTTGATGATTTTAACGACACAGGTCACCCGAATCGTTTCAAATTTGGCAATGATAGTTCGTAATCGGTGTTACCGATTGTGACGGAAAATTGGCTATGCAGGTCTACGTCTACGTGTTAGCCCCCATATAACAGCTCCTCCCTATATCAGATATTTTGGTGTTTTTAGTGACATTATTCCCCGGAATTTCGTATTTGAAGTTTCTTATAGGTGCTATAATCTATGACAGAAAATTGCCTATGCAGTTCCAGGGACTGGATTCTTGTTCTATGAAAATATGAAATGAATTTCCATTATAATATTTTTCATTTGACATTTCTTTCCTCTATAAAAGTTTTCATTTCACATTTTCATAGAACAAAAAAATAGAGGCTCAGGTCTTCGTATAGCCCCTAAATATCGGTACCTCCCTATATTCGGTATTTTGATCATTTTAACTACATTATTCTCGGGAATTGTTTCAAATGTCGTATTTGCACTTCGTAATGGGTACTGCCTGCCGGTGACTCCAACACGTCTTCGTATAGACCCCAAAATAACAGTAACTTTCTAAATTTAGTATTTTTAAGATTTTGATAGAATTTTAAACGGATTCTATTATTTTTTTAATTTCTAAATTCGTTTCAAATGGGTGAGTGTATTCAACTTACTACTTTTTAATTGTTATTACTATTTTTAGAGAAATTTATAAATCTATAAAACTTAGAATTTGCCTTTCTTTTGTTATATAATCGTAAACGACACAACAATAAATGATTATATATTAAACCATCCCATACTCTAAAGTATTTATTTTGGTTAAAAAATAATGGGTACGTTATAAAATCGCTTATTATAAATGTAGAAAAAATAATTTACATGGCACTCTTACAGGATCAAAGAAAAGTAGTAACTTGCACACTTTTTAGCTGATTTCTAATCTTGTTTTTCTTCTTATCCTCAGATTATGCTAGCCGTGGTCAAAAGAAGTTCGGTGACAAATGTGATAATACGTTGGAGTGCGGTTTTCCTGGTTCTATCTGTGATACTAAAAAGAAGTCATGCCAATGCACAGAAGACTTGCCCGTGACAAACCATTTTGACAAATGCGGAAAAGGTAAGTCCACGCAAGGCAGCATTTATCTGATTCATTCTCACATTTCTTTCCTCTATTGCATCTTTAGAGGCAGCTGTCAACGAATCCTGCTTTTTCAACGAGCAATGCGAAGTGAAATATTTCCAGACCGAATGTCGTGACGGTCGCTGTGTGTGTCGATTCGACATGACACCGATATGGCTGAAAGACGGTTCCGTAGAATGTAAAGGTAAGCAATTTGCTGAATTCTCCTCTATGATGAACGGACAAGAGTGCCCCCATTTGTCTCAACACTCAATTTCTTATGCCGATGATAGATAACGAACCCTTGGTTCAAGTGTTGCTTGAAGAGGATTCATGAATGTGGCCGAGAAATTAAATTTACTTATGCCAAGGCCAAAAGGCAAGATACGCATTATTAGACAAAAATATTGGATTAAAATGAACATCGGTCGTCATTTGTCGCCGATAGCAGTGGTCCGCAAGATACTTTGACCAATTTGCCATGTTGTACGTATGTGTCGGTATTGACGTGTTTTCCCATTAATCATGTGCGAGAATGGTCAATCCCAATGCAGTGGCATAGTAATCTGGATCAATGGTTATTGTTTTTGTTCCTTAACAATATGTCAGTCAGTCAGTCAGTCATAACAACAATGAATTATGTCACACGACATAACAACATTCAAGACATCTCCCTCCGAATGTATGCCTTCAAATTATATATTTCATTTTTCAATACTATTATCTGTTATAACTTGCGAAACAAGTCGGCGTTTCTTTATAACTTGTTATATATAAATATTTCTTTCAACCAGAAACCTGAGATAAATATGGAATTTATGATTTCGCATAAAATTGTATATAAATGTTCGATCTCCTTCAAATTTTGCACATACCGATATTTTTATCTGTATTAGATGAAGTATGAAAATGGAATACTTCGGCCGCTATAGGTGTTACCTGACGTATATTTCTACATTTTCCAAAAATTGACACATATCTTATGTAGTCCATATAGTCCATATATCTGGCACGTTGTAATATTTATATCCGTCTTAGGTCAGATACGAATTGCCCAATATTGGCCAACTGCTTCGGAACCTGCCCCATAAATCAACAGTTTGAATAATAATAACTCAAGCCTGGGGGTATACAGTTGCCGGCAAAACCGAGTGATACTATTACACTACAAATTATGCCAATAATGATCCTTTGCGATTTTTTACCTTGAAAGTCTTGAATATTTAATTGTTTTGTTTCTAAACCTCTACATTTTATCCCATTTTGAATATAGGAATTTTGTTTTTAATTTAGTTCGTAAAGATTTTGTAATCCATAGACTTAAGAATCCATGCCATCCATATTATTATGTATTTAAGGTTGTATGTGAAACTCGTACGAGTATGAATAAGTTCAGTTTCTAAACAACATGAACATGACGCAACACATGTCACATTGATTAACATTTCTGTTGGCGCTTGATAACAAAAATGATGCAAATTTAATTATTAGAAAACAATTTCTATGCAATTCTTTTAAGTAAACAATTACGCGAATTGAGTCGCTGTGCGTCACACTCACAGATTTAAATGATTAACTTATTTTGTTTTATTTCAATGTTCTATACAATTTCAGATTATCGAATTACAAATTAAAAGTCATTGTGATCGATCGCGGGAAATGTCGCACATCAGTGTATTGCTATAATACTATGGTATTATTACATGTGGATGTAATATTGACTGAGGGAGATCATACATCGAAACAGATACATATATCCATGGTAGGAGAATGCAGTTAGTCGCATTTTGAATTGAAAATTTTGAATGAAAAATAAGTAAAAAAAACATTAGGTTCGGACGGGCCAAACTTTTAATACCATCCACCTTGGGGTAAAGGAAACATTAGAAGAAATGTGGCAAACACCATCAAAATGGAAGCCATTATGACCAACAAATGCCAATTTTTAGACAAATACGTGAAGAAATGTGGCAAAAAAATTAAAATACCGAATATTGGGAGGTACCTTTATATGGGGGCTATACCTAAACCTGGACCCATACATGCAATGTTTTGCCACACGCACAGGGACCCATTATGACCTACAAGTACCCATTTTCAAACAAATCCGTTAAAGAATGTGGCATAAATAATCAAAATGCCGAATATCGGGAGGTACAATTATATGGGGACTATACCAGAACGTGGACCGATATATCTCATTTTCAATACCAAGCATCCTAGACACAATACAAATAGTTCTGCTAAACGACAAATAATGTGGGCTGTATCGTGATTTCAACAGACAGACAGACATCGTTATATGAATATATATACTTTATGGCGTCTACGACGAATATTTAAGGATGTTACAAACGGAATGACAAAGTTAATAGACCCTCCTTTCCAAGGTGGAGGGTATAAAAATTATTCAAATTTGTAAATATTTTTGAAAAACCCATATTATCCTCCGAATAACCGAAAAATCTACTTATATTTGAAAAAAAAAATTAATTTTTGACATATCAATGTTCTTAAGCGTTGATGCATCTACCTGTATTCCACTATCATGCATATATCCATGGTACGAGGAAGTAACCCTCATCTGTCAAAACATGCGCACATTTTTGCATGTATTCTTTAAAACCACTTTCGTTGAAAAAATTGGAGAATTATTAAAATACCGTGGTTATAAGAAAACGTGGACCTATATTGGCAATGTTCTGTCACAAAGAGTAAAACCTATTTCGAACTCTAACTTCCGAATTTTAACAAATTCCGTTAGTAAATGTGCCTTAGATCGTCACTTGCCCACTGACAAAATACACATGTGTACAAAATGTTAGCCTTCTATCTCCATTCGTCCGAAAAATAGCATGATTACAGACGGAAACTTAAGGCTAATAAGGCCTTGGATAAAGATAAGTAGTTTTGTGACGCATCATCGATGGAATTGACAATCTAAACGCTTTTAAAGCGTTTTATTAAAACATATTCGATGTAAATGAGGCTTAGTATTGCAGAAGTCAAGTCAAGTCAACTGGGGTTTGCAGTTGTACCATGCTTTTGTTTTATTGCAGATATCCCAAATAAACATATTTATTTCTAGGTCGCCAGGATAAGAAGGGGCCCGAAACCTACATAGATCCCGCCATGATTGGTGTTCTCATTGGCATGGCTCTGATGTTCATCATCATATGTGTGGTTCTTCGTCTCTTTAGCCAGTAAGTATGATGGTGCACCTCGATTAAGAATCGATTTAATTGCTGTCACCGTTTTCTGTCCACAGAGCTCGATGGCGGGAAAATCGGACTATCTTCAACACTCCGAACCCACGACTCATGAACGTATCGTTGCTGCGCGAGAGTAAACTTCTGCATGGTCAGGAGCGGAGGGGATCACGCATGTCCGTCAGGGCACCATCACGACAACCAAGTATGGCTTCTTTACGTCCACACTCACCAAATCCATCGTTAGGTAAGGCAGGTTCGTATTCAATGCACCCCAATTGCACCTAATTTTCTCTTACAATGCAGCTCACAACAATTTCCCCTTTCTCGTCGTCGTTCGAACAAATATGCATACATACAGATGTACATATATATTTTTTGAACGGCATACCAATTTTTAAAGCTTACTTCCATGAATGTATGTATGTATGAATGTACATAAAGCCGGAAAGTGCGCGCATGATCAGAACCATAAAACCTCATATCCTCGGATATAAACAACATTAATGCAGACATTTTTTGTGTGTGTGTGTGTGTGAGAAAGAGAGAGATAGACTACACCAAATATTAGGCAGCGATATAAATATGTGTACATGTTTTCTTTCATTTTCGTTTTGCAAAGCTTAACAGCTATGCGAGGGGTAAATCCAGATAGCCCTAAACATAACTCAGTTTAAAGTATTTTTTTCGCAAGAGTCGAATTGTTCTGGTTTTAACAAATTCGGACACTAAATGTGCCAATTTCAACATTTGTTTGTGTGAATCTCTTTAAGGTTACCAAATAAATAGTAATAGTTTCAAGAAAATAGACCGATTTACAGAAATCCGATCCGTGCCCCTTGACCGCATATCAAGTCGCCCGATCAAATGGTGTTATACGAACATGTAGATGCAGATATTTTGCAATCGTTACTTGCCTTATCGAAATTACTTAGATTTAAACTTATTTACAATGTTTTTAGTTGGCCGTTTTTAACGCGAAATATCCCGAATTTCGATCGGGTCTTTTTGTTGCCCCCTTATTAATGGCTTCCGTTTGCAGGACGAATGACCCGTTCCAAGAGCAATACTCGTTCCAGCGATTCACGTGTTAGTGATGCTTCAAACTGCTCACGCTTGCTTGAGCACAGTCATACAGCCAACACACATCATCATATCGCGCACCCACATCCGAACTCCTCAAATATAACAGCCGCTGCTGGTCATGCCACGCCACACACCAGTGGCATACACAGTGCCAGTGTGTCCCCTCACTCGTCGAATGCAATATCGCCGACACCAACACCAACACTGACCGCCACCATAGCCTATTCCAGTCAAAGTCCGACGACTGGTACTGCCTGTAGCACGAACATAAAGCCACCGCCGCCAACGGTCAACATAAAACCGAATAAATTTTAAAGGCCATTGCCAATCGTCATTACCAAATCCACCTTTTACTAAACCACAGTGGATGGTTGGTTGGTTGGTTGAGGCGACATCGAAAACAAAAGCCTATCCGATGCGATGTCCCTGCGAAGAGGTATGGTGTTCCGTTGGGATCTCCTCAACAAACCCACCTATTAATTTCTCACCTGCTCCCTTCTCAAAGTCTATCTATCGCTCTCTACTGCTATGACGATCGTAGAATCTAGAATTTCCACGTAGTCTTGACCTGAATCGTAGCTAGTTGTATCTGGAACATAGACCTTGTCCAGCTATTGTAGTGGCCAAACTGTGTCCCTATGTTTGAAGACACCAAAGTAAAACTCTTTGTTTTTTAGTTTCCACACCAAACCACACTCCACTTTAGCTCTGCTAAAGCCTCACTCATCCAAGCAGACACAAACCCGATCAGCTGAAGACCTCACCCACACTTAAGCCGATATACATAGCTTCTCAAATTCTATTCCTTTGCGTTCTCTTAACCTTAACACCGCTTAATACCCAATCACCGCTCTGTGACACAATCATCTACACACATTATACGCCTGTGCAATGTGGAGACGACGAAAGGCTAAATCGGATCATAAACCAATCAAAAGACCAGATAAAATAGTTCTTAAATATCAAACTTTTGTGTATTTATCTATTAAGCATTTTCATTACGGACAAATACAAGAGCAAACCATTTTCCTGAAAAGCAATAGTCGGAAGATAAAATATTAAGACGGGAGAAAGAGGAACAAAAAATGATATTTTCAATGATAAATTTACAAACATTCTGGTGATTGTCGGGACGACTTCTTTACAGTAAGATATTTTGATACTTGTGCAATAGATTACAATACATGAACTCTAATGCCTTTCGTTTCTGAATGGAAGGCATATGCCTTTATGGAAAAAAATAGGAAGTATCGAAATGTCATTTTCGTCACTCCAGCGTCCATAAATACAAATTCATTTCGATTGAAGTTTGTCCAATATCGATTGCGAGTACTGGACCAAGGCGGTTAGGTCTGACTTTGTTGGATGTATCGTTTTCCTATTCAAATGATCTGCATCATCATTATTATTGATTAATTGAAATGAAAGCATTTTTGCACAATTCGAAAATACGTTTAATCGAAGGTGCAGTTATATGGGAGCTATATGTGTTATATCAGTGATTAGACCGCTGTGTGATGGGCCAAAAAAGGATGGCTTTATAGACTTCTCAGCTTTTCCATAGAAAATAGAGTATTTTATATCAAATAACATTGCTATAAAGTGCATGATATCACTTCGAGGAGGATTATATTATATTTATTATATATATATATATATATATATATATATATATATATATATATATATATATATATATATATATAGAAAATGGAAACGAAAGTCCCGAAATTAGAAAATGGAAACGAAAGTCCCGAAATTCACTCCATTTAGACTGATATTATTTATAATTTGCACAGTAAACCTAAAATCGGATTAAGGATATGTATGGGAGCTAAATCCAATTCTTAGCCACTCTCGATAAAATTTGGCAAAGGTATTACTGACCTCTTTAAGATATCTGGTACCAAATATCATTGTTATCGAATACATATTACGATATGGGAGCTATAGCTATATCTGAACCGATTTTCTCCCAATTTGCTGTATTTCTTCTAGACTAAATTCGGTCGGATATACCAAAACGTAGGAATTTTTGAAATATCGGTTCGGTTGAAAATATGTATGGGAACTACATCCAAATCGGAACCGATCTTGAAAAAATTGGCAGAGGTATTTCTGGGCTGCATATATATGACGAAAAATGTTTCTGCACAACATCGAAATGTAAAATTCCTGAAACATATTTTAGTATTTTATCTTTTTTTTTGTTTGCACTATGGGCTGACAATCGAGACATTAATTACGCCATGACGGGTTCATCTTATCTGTTACGGTTCGTCTTATCGAATACTTGGGACAAGCTTTTCGACTGATCAGGGCCTCTCAGGTAGAGTTCCAACCCGCTCAGCCAACTTTCTTGAACTCGAACCAAAACAAAAATACATTTTTTATGTTTTACACTCGCCAGAGGCTTTCATTCCCCGCAAAAAAAAAATTTGCTCTGTTTGGGTCCACAGTGTTAGTATTGCTTCAAGAATTTCCTCGACTCACATTGTACCTCTTTAGTGGACATATTGCCGCCGTGTAAACGTAAATGTAGTGTCGTCAGAGCGTTGTTGTAGTATTCGTGTCGTTATACTAGATTTCGCATGCACAGACATCCGAACGTAGTGCGAACATAAACAACTTACTTTGTAAATAAACGGCATTTATCTATCTTTAGCTGAGCTTATTTTATTTTACGTTTTGTTTGCGATGCACTTTTTCATTCACCAAAAAATCACCCTTCACTTCAAACTGTTAATAGTTCACGTTAGCAAACATTTTGTTTACTCTTTTTAAGTGGATAATGGTTTTCTTGTTTGTTTTGAATTTGGTTAGCCAAATGTGTTTAGCTGTAGCGAGTTTTAATAAAACTAGATGTTGTTTCCCAGAGAACACCTTGATTAGATCATAATTTGTACATTTTCCCAAAAATCCAAAAACCGTCTATTTGCAGGTTCTCGTTCGAACTCCCATGGCAGCAACGCTTCTGCTACTTCGTTGAGATCCACACGAAGCAACTCCGTTTCGCCGGCCATCAATAATGCGCACCATGAGAGGAAAGGTTCCACTTATCATCCACATCTTCAGCACCACTCGCAGCATCTCTCGACACCCGAGGCAACACTTCAACAGCAGCATCAACCGTTGGTGCAACAGACCAACATAATCGCCAATCCAGTTGCTGAAAGTGTAACCGTGGACATTATAGAACCGGAAAAATAAACACAGCGCAAGTGTCCGGACGATAAGAGAAGAAGCGCACATACACGGAATCTATTGTGTGCAACTAACCATAGCAAGGAAACCTCTACATACAAACATATATATAAAAATACACAAACACACAATCACACACAACCAATGGAATATGCTTTAAACTTAGCAATTAATTAATAACAACAACAACAAAAACCACAAAAACGAAACAAAACAAATATTAAATCTCTATTTTGGAATATAACGAAATCCCAAGATCTATGCACACTTTTTAAAAATGATAGACGATATACAATATAGGACGTGCAAGCGAGCCCCCACAACTGCAGCAGTACGATGTGCGGGGTTCATTGCCGAGTTCATACTTTAGCTGCGCGTGCTCGTTTAGGAGGACACGAACAAAACCAGAATAATATTTTTTAAATTTTAATTATGGCATCTTTTTAAAACAAACGAAAAAGCAAACATTTTAAACAACCACAACCACAAGAACAAAACCAAAAATAAAAAATATATATATTGCCTTTAATACACACCAAGCAAAAAAGCTAACTTAAAAAAAAAATTAAAAAAAAACCTTGCATAACAAATTCATTATAAAAAAAAACAAATTATTTTATTTCGATTTATTAATCTTGAAACACGATATTTTACCACATTCGTACATACAAACACACATACATTTTCATTCAGAGATGATTACTCAAATTAGATAAGGATAAGTCAAACGTAGCTAAGTAGTTTGAAAGCCTACCAAAGAAGAATTCCTTCAGCAAGGAAGGAGCAATACTGCAAGACAAACATTTGGGGGTTGTACTTTATATGCTGCTAATTTTCTAATATTTCGCCACTCCTGATTTTTACCAACCACCAACATAGATTAGAGATTCCCAACTACTAGAGTCATGGGTCTTGAAACGCCAACATCGTCACACTACGCTTTCATAATTCATGCTACTCACCGCATTACCCCATCGCATTCGCCCACTCGTTGCACAAAAACCTTAGTTTTCTTCTACTTTGTTTTCCATCGAATAGTAATTAACAACGTAGTCATATGAAAAGAAACACAAACTTCGGGACCATATTTTCGAATCAAAATATGCGTTTCAAACAATTTTCCACTGTGTTTTTGTCATTCAATTCAATTGTTCTGTTGAAACAAAAACAAAAAAAAAAAAAAACACAAGAAACACTCTAAACGCAATCATTATTTGATAAATCGTTATATTTATAATGCCCAGACTATTAAAACAAACAAAAAAAAAAAACAAGCGCCCAAAGCTCTCTAAACATTTTCAAAGAAATTAAAACAAAAAAGAAAGAAGAAAGAAAAAAGAAAAAAAAAAAAACAATATTTACATTTAACCCTCTATATTATACATGATCTCTATACATTATTATATACTTCTTATATATACATGAAAATCGATATATACACATATATACATTCTTATATAAAGAAACTATTTTTAATTAGCCATTAAAACGAAAAACCTAAAGCGAACATTTGAACAAAAGAAAATTAGAAAAGAAATCTCATCCTCACATTCACATTCACAAAGAGAGGACGAAATTTAGTTTATTTTCTACACATCAGAAGGCATAACATTAGGGAATAACTTAATACAAAAACATATACATACACACAAATATATATTTATATATATATCCATACATACATATGTATGAAACGTATTTATGAAGAACTCCAATAGTGCATCTAATCGAATCATCTAGGCTCCAAATTTGTGCGATGTAAACCCATTCGTGGCAAATCCCAAGGTATTTCAAGATCTGCTGGGATCCGAATACCATTTCGGCTCCTGGGAGGAGCCATACATTAATAGTCGCGTTTACCTACCAAATCTGTACCCGGGTTAGCTGTGATCATTTACTAATCACAATAATTACGTTTCCCATAGACAAATGTGATTGTTATGTGATTGGCCAGTTATCAGATAGTTCCCACATTTTGGCATTGGCTTAGCAATCGACCCTTTGAATAAATATACGGGGAAGGTATTTATTTGTCGCTTGTTAAGTTCTATCAAATCGATGCGAATCGTATCGAGTCTTCACTCGTGCCCAAGTATACTCTTAAAAATGGTTCACAAAATTTACTTTACTTCGCGATCAGGCACTGAGTTCGGCTAGTTCATGATTAATTCTGTCGATACTATTGAAGACCGGAACAATTTCCAGAACAGATCCCCAATGAAACATTGTGATTTAGTTAAAGTTCAACGAATTTTTAGACAAGGCTTTGCTATTACGACTTTTTATTAAAACGAATTTAGTTTTGAAGTTTGGGGAAGAATTTCAAAACTACCAATGTCGTTTTAACGAACAAACCCTTTACATCCATACATACACATATACACTTTAGTATAGAGAGAACAATTACAAATATTTACTAGCTTAATGTTATTAAGATTCGACAAACAAATATTTAGGCAACGTTTAAAAAACAAAAATAATTACAAATATATTTCAAAGTTAGCCGGTAGCGTATTTTCAATTATAATTCGAACAAATACTAACACACATATTACAACGGCGATGCCATCCCACAGAAGTCAACCATGGGATGTGGCAACTCCATTCCTTTATCCTGACAACTGTTGCTGGCTGTTGTTTCGCCGAAGCAAAGCCTTCGACATTCGCATTCACAGTCCGAACATCACGTACACATAACGCTACGCAGTGACCACATGCACCCACCACGTTCGTTCTCCGGCGAGGAGGCATCTTCCAAAATTAAACTAATTTTTATTTCCCATTGAGTTTCATTTCACAAATTCGCAGAATTTACAACAAGTCTTCTATTGAACCTTCAAATAAAACAACAACAAAAACAACAACAACAACAACCAAAAGCCTTATGCTAAGCGTATTAAATATCCGCTTGCAAATAGTTTTCATTTTCTTTTTGATCGAAATCAGGAGACAAATCAATCATAAAACACGCCCATTCCATCGTTTCTTTCTTTACCACAACAAAGCATAAAACAACAAAACAAAACAAAAATAAAAATAAAAACACAATATCTAGATTCAACAACTAGCAATATATAATAAATAATTAATTATATTATATTACAAATATTATTATTATTATTACTACAAATAGAAGAGCAATTTGTTTGTGAGAAATATTAAATGACGCCATTTATATCTAAAACGTAAACTGCAAACTAAGAAAACTACGAACTAAGAACTCATTTTATTAAAATAAACTAAATACTCTACCATACCTTACTTACAAAAACCAAACTAAGTGTTTTCAATTGAGTTCGTGAAGCAGGAGGGGGAGGCGGTAAGACCACTAGTTTCAAATACAATAATCCACAAATAAAAGTTCCAACAAAGAAAATCTCGGTTTTCCGTCGTTTGCCAGTATGTGCGTATTGAATATGTAAACGATTCTACCATTCTACAATATCCCTCTGAAATTTTGCTCAGACATTTATATTACCTTTAGTATGTTTTGTATTAAAAATGGGACATATCCGTCCACATTTCGGTAAGGCCTCTATATAGCGTTATTTCCACATTTAGGTGTTTTAAATGTATTGAAAACAATTTTTAACCAAATCATGTGTAACTTGACATTTAAATTTCTTAGCAGGTATAATCTCTTCGTGCCAAAACTTTTCAAGATTGCTTGCTTGATTTGGCCACAATTCAAGCCCGATAATGACTAACCTGACATTTTGAATTCTGAGCTGACAAAATCTCTACCTTTGAAGACAATCCACCATTGTGTATTGACCAAATATAACGATACTTCTAAATTTTAGGTATTAAAACATCTCTCCCTGCAAAATTTTAATTATTTTACGTATTTGAGCGTTTTAGACACAGATTTTTTTTTGGCAAAATTATTATTATTATATAAAATGCAAATATAAAACCACCTAAAAGGTAGGTCTTTGCTGGGCCTAATGGGGTTAGATGCCAAAAATCAAAGAAAAAGCATTTCGTTGCTCCCATTCATATGTTTTGTTTTAAGTACCATTTTGAGTCTTTTGCAAAAAAATTTTTTTTTTCTCTTTTTTAGTTCCCTTGATGTATGATTTGGCTTAAATCCAGTCTAGCTCACATTGATCGCGCAACAACAATGATATACCTTGTAGTACTTTTTTACCCCTGAAGTACCAAAAATACCTCCTCTTATCAACACCGCACAAGAAGAGTGACTCTCATATAATTTCCGGAAGACCTTTTGCATAATGCTGTTAAACTTATCAAAAAAACCAGAAAGTGAGCGAGGCCGTTATATGGGGCCATACCAAAACGGGAACCTCTATGGATAATTTTACACTTCAAGGTTTGCCAAGATACCAAACTTGAAGCACTTATGTGGTAAATATGACTAGGACTATCAAAATAAATCAAAATATGTGCGTTTTAGGAAAACGTAAAACTAAATATTCAATGTTTAGCCACACGAGCTACAACCCATTACGAACTACAAATACCAATTTTTAGACAAATACGTGGGAAAATGTAGCAAATATCAACAAAATACCGAATATGGAAAGGTACCGTTATATGGGGACTATTACAAAACGGGGACCGACATATTTCATTTTCAATACCAACCATCCTAGACACAATACAAATTGTTCTGCTAAATTTTGACGCTCTACGTCAAAAAATGTGGGCTGTATCGAGACTTCAACAGACAGACGGGCATCGTTAAATCGACTTAGAATTTTATGCTGATTATGAATATGAATAAATATGCTTTAAGGGGTCTACGATGAATATTAAGGGATTCTACAAACGGGTTGACAATGTTAATGTACCCTTCTTTCCAAGGTGGAAGGTATACAAATCCGGTAAATAATGTAGCTAAAATCATCAACATAATGAATATAGGGTACCGTTATATCGGGGCTACATGAAGACTTGGACATGCATAGGCAATTTTCTGTCACAGACTGTAGTACCTATTAGGATCTTCAAATATGTGGGCCAATGGGGCCTATACGAAGACCTGGACCTGCGTGCACAATTTTTGGTCATAGGCTGCAGTACCAATTACGAACAATTCCGGTAAAAATGACGTTAAAATGTCATTAAAATACCAAATATCGGGAATACCATTATTTGAGATCGTAGACCTATACAGACAATTCTCTTCCAGGGGGCAAAGTACTCAAAAAGAACTCCTCGTGCGGATTTTAAGATAATTTCATTGAAAAATTTGGCTAGTATCATCAAAATACCGCATATCGGGAGGTACCGTTATATGGGGGATATACTATATCATGGATCTATATATACGATTCTCTTCCAGGGGGAAAATGCTTAGAAGAAACTTCTTGTGTGGATTTTCAGACAATTGCATTGATGAAATGTAGCTTAAATAATCAAAATACCGAAATCCCCGCTATAAGGGGGATATACGATATTGGGGACCTATATGGACAATAATATTCCAAGGAGGTAAAGTACTCAAAAGGAACTTCCTGTATAGATTTTCAGACAATTTCAATGAAAAATTTGACTACAATCATTAAAGTAGCGAGTATCGGATGTACCGTTATGTGGGGCTATACATGTTCGAACTTGACCTGCCTGCAGACAAAAGACTGACCTGTGCAAAATTTTAGCTTCCTATCTTTATTCGTTTTGACAGACGGACATGGCTAAATCGTCTTAGAATTTTACGCTGATTAAGAGTATTTATACTTTGGTCTAAAATTATTATTTCGATGAGTTACAAACGGAATGAAAAACTTAATATACCCTTCATACTATGTATGGTGGAGGGTATAAAAGACATAAACCATTTCCATACACCAAGACACCACCAGCAACAAATATCTATTATTGCTGCATCTCCAATCGTTTGAGGTAATGGTAAAAATTTATACAAGTTATCGAGTAAACAGGCACTCCTATTCCTAAATTTTACGAAGGAATATATATTTTCTTTTTTGCACACCAGGACCGTATGTATGTTTGCGAAGCGCTTAAGACGTGTAGCATTCATTTAATATTTTGTGCGTTTATTTGTGTGACAAAAACGAAACCCTTAATATTTACAAAACATACCCACTAGAGATCTAAGAGTAAACTGTACTCACTAATATTCCCGAGTTAATTAAATATAAATAGGTAGTATAAATAGATGTCTGTGTGTGTTTGTGATCTTCTAAAACTATTCTGATTTTTTATTTGTGACACGTTTTCTGTAACTCTGCTCGGCTATGTAACGCAAATGCTTTGACGTGCCTGGACCGGTTTTTTCAACAAACTTGAAGAGATGTCCCTCTGGATTCTGGAGTAACTGATGGGGATGACCCAGTTCTACTGCACTGCCAGCGTCCATAACTAAGACTCGATCATTGTCCATTACCGTGTGTAGGCGATGGGCAATCGTAAGGACTGTACACTTCTCGAACTTAGTGTGAATGGCCTCCTGGATGAATTTGTCGGTTCTGAAAGCAAAAGTTCTATTTTGAAAATTGCAATTTTATTTACGCCATGAGGATAAGACTTACTCAGGATCTACATTGGCCGTAGCCTCGTCCATTATCAAAATTTTGTTGTGCCTCAAAATCGCTCTCGCCATGCATATCAACTGTTTCTGTCCCATACTAAAGTTCGAGCCGCCGTCATACACTCGAGTCGACAGACCACCCTCGAGTGACTTCACGTAATTTTTCAATTTAACATCGTCCAGGGCATGCCAGATTTCCTCGTCAGTCCTCTCGTCGAAAGGGTCGAGATTAAATCGCAGAGCTCCGGAAAAGAGAACTGGATCTTGTGGGATTATAGAAATACGACTGCGCAGGTCATGTAGTCCCAGCCTTTCGATATCGAAGCCGTCAATGTCCAGAAGTCCGTCATTTCTAGCTAGACGGAATATTGCCTGTATTATCGACGACTTGCCAGCGCCCGTTCGACCAACTATGCCAATTTTTTCCGTCGGTTTAATGGAGAAGTTGAGCCCCTTCAAAATATAGTCACTATTTTCCGAATATTTGAGCTTTAGATCTTTGAAGTGCATTCGGCCCGTAGCGGGCCAATTCTCCGGCAGTCTGACGGATGCGTCCGTTTCTAAACTGGGTTCTGTGGGAAGTTCAATATACTCTATAACGCGTTCTACACTCGTCATATTGTTCTCCATTTCGGCCGTCTGACGCATCCCCCACTGGCACATTATAACCAATGACATGGACTGCGTGATGGCCAAACCGACATCGCCGCTGTAGAACTCTTGGTTAATGAGCAGAAAACTGAATGTTACGGCCAGAATGTAGAGGACACATATCAGATCCGTCCAGAAGGCGAAGGCCCGATTTGTTGTCACGTACAGATACAGTGCCGACGTATTGTTGTTCTGATGGTCGTGGAATTCTGCCTCCAGGTGGCGGCTAGCATGAAGGGCACGAATAGTTGTCAAGCCTTGAAATGTCTGATTCGTATGGGAGTAGACGGGACTGCGGGCTGAAAAGGTTGACAGACAAATTAAAAAAAAATGAGCCTATCAATGTATTCGACTCCCGAGATTGCCCCTATGACTTACTCATTACTTCGATTCTTTTCAAACTACGACTAGCCCCTATATATAGTCCACGACAAGCGTACAGCAATAGAATCATTATGAAGGCCGGTATCAGAAGCCAATAGTTTGCCGTGGCCACGACCACCAATACGGCGACGGCATTAACGATGAACTGAAATGAAGAAAATATTAACGTGTAAGGTATTTGTACGAAATGCTGATTATACGAGTGATTACAGTTTTTTTTTTTTTTTTTTTTGTAATTTACCCTGCCTGGGAGATGTTCGAACATATCCTCTGTTATAAACCATACGTTTTCATATTGGGTTTACACATACAAGTGTTAATAAAAACAAGTTAAAAAGTAACAATCGGTTCTGCCGACAGGCTAATGCCCTCAGCCAATGTTCGATTATTTAAATATATTTTGACTTCTGTTATGATTATTCCAATTGTTGACCCTCTGTGGAGTGGCTTCTGAGGGAATGGGCCAATATTGTCTATTTCGCATCGGACCTAAATAAATACGATATAAATATGGGGTAACTTAGTAACAGGTTGGTAACTTCCTTTACTTTAGATGACACATGTGATAATTTTTTAGAAAATGTTAACATGTGAGTGAGGTACCAGGTATAGTCGACCGAAGTATTCCATTTTCATGCTTCATCTAATACATATGAAAATATTGGTATGGGCAAAATAACAATCTATGGGAAATCATAAATTCCATATTCATCTCAGGTTTCTGGCTGAGAGAAATATTTCGATATAGGAAGTTGTGAAGAAATGCTGACTTTTTTTCGCAAGTAATGACAGATAAAAGTATTGAAAAGTGTGACGCTTTGTGGCTGAGGTACCAGAAGGTACAACAGATCTTGTATTAGCAATAATGTTTGTATGTGTGAAATTTGAGGAGAGATGGATGCTTTTTTCGCTTTCGTTGAGCTCTTTGTTTTTCAAAATATTGAACCCTATGTGGGGCAGGTATCAAAAGAAATGGTCCGATCTCTACCATCTTTATAACATATCTTGTGTTGATGGAAATATTGAGCTGTACCAAGTCTTGAATGTAATCGTATTTTAATTTCGCTTTTTATGAGCTTCATGGATATTCAAAAATTTTAATCAGAAGGAGTGGACCGATATATCTCACCTTCACAACAGATCTTGTGTGCCAGAATAGAATCGGATGTGCCTAAATAGAATCGGATGTTAATTTCACATTTTATGAACTTAATGAATATTCAAAATTTCGACCTTTGTGGGGGAGCTACCAGAAAAAGTGGACCGATATATTCCATCTTAAGACCAGATTTTGAGTTTATAAAAATATTGGGATGTGTGAAATTTTAAGACAATCGGATTCTTACATAACATTTTATAAGAGTTATAATCATTCCAAATTTTGACCATTTGTTATGGAAACACTTGATGGAGTGGACCGATATTATCCATTTTTGCACCTGACCGAGAACTGAGGCTAATATTAGGATTTGCAAAGATGGAGCAAAATCGGACTATTGCTTCTTGAAAATTGAAATTTGAAGACAATCGAACTTTTACTTCACATTTTATAAGAATTGTAATTATTCAAAATGGAGTGGGCCGTGGACGGTGGTTTTTAGTAATATCACTGCAAACAAACGGTGGCGGATAGCCGAATTAAATCACGCCAACAATAGAAGACAGGTGACTGCGTAAGACACGTAAAGTATAAATGGAGGCGCTGTACAGTTGTTCGTGGTCCAACTGGCTCTTTATCTCTTCGAGTCAGATGGAGAGGCTTTGGTGATGGGAGAGGTGAATCATAAACTACTGTTTGGGACTGAAACCAACCGTGAGATGGGATGGGGCTATAGGGCAACATATCGTGTAGGGCAACATATGATGCGGCAAATATAGAACGTATCGATCGATTCCTCATGAAGGGTGCCATGAACGTTATAAATGGAGCGCAACACTTGAAGAATGATTTGGATGAGGATTCCCTACTTTGTTCGTATGACGCGGCGGACATATGTACTTAAAAAAACATCTTCCACCTGGTTCTTTAATGATATTATTAGATCAAGGTCTATTGTACAATGAAGAGAATAATTTGTTATTATACCACAGAACGTATAACATCATGAATTTGGATACTAATGTATATATAACTACACAGTAGACTTGTAAATAATATGTAAATAGTAGTTAAGTTCCCTAGTTTTAATTCTTAGTTTTAGTCCCTAGTTCATAAGCATTTTAACTGATTTTTGCCTACTTCTAAGAGTTTTGTTGTACGTCATCAGTGTTGAGAGGGGTTTCTGTCGTTCCCTCAGGTTTTAAATGCTGTCAATGCAGCTGCCATCGATCTGTCGCAATTCAAACGCAGTTATTGTCATCAGCGCCGGCCACATGTCGTCAGCACCATTGTGTCAAGCTGCCGTTAATGGGACTCACCATTTATTTGCAATTGCGCAGTGTTTCTTACAATGACCAAGTGATGCAGATAAAAACATGTGAACTGTATAATTGATCCAGTGTAATATATATCATAGTGTCAGCTTTAATCCCGTACTGTAAATAAAGAAGCACTGTTTAATATTAATCCCGCTGCATTCCTTTCCCTAATGTCACCGAAACCAAATAAATTATCTGTGATGTCCCTGGCGCCCGCTAAACCAACGCCAGCTTCAAAGTTTTAAAACACGTCGTTATACATAATAACCTCCGGTTGGAGATGGATATAAAAATCCATGGCACAATTGCAAAAGATAGAACAAAGCTACCTCAATACATACATATACAAATTGTGTATGTGTGCGTATAGTTTTTAATTAAAACCGAATAATTTGAATTTATTTCAAATTCATTTGCAAAATAAATACATATTTTCGACATTAATGTGCAACAAATTGTTGAGGATAAATCTGTTTGGTCCTACTATCTTAGATTTAATTTTATGGAATAACCCCAAGATTCTTTTCATGTTTTGTGGTTCTTCCTCAATATTAACATTTTTTTAAAAATCTAGTATAGTATATTTAACACTGCAAGACAGAGTTTTTCCAGTTTCTTGAAGTTGTGCAAATTTTCTGGTTGAGCCTTGTAAAAATCTACTTATTTTTGACAAAACATTTTGACATATCAAGGTTCCCAAGCGTTGATGCATCTACCTGTATTCTTATACCAAGGGAAACACATTAACAACGTTCGCATTAGTTTTAAGCGTACCTACGGCGTTACTGCTAAAAAACACGTTCGGATAGCAACCGGGCTTGTTCACCACTAAACTCCTATATTTTCAATTCTTATCGGTTTTTATCCGATGCAAATGCAAATCTTCACCAGAATTGCTCTTCCATTGTCTCACTTACCGATATCGAGTCTAACATTGCCTGTGGCAGAGCCACGTCAATGTTGTTGATGTCACTGGAAAATCTGTTCAGGATGCGCCCCGAGGGATTTGTATTGAAGAAATACATATACGAACGGATTATGCCATTAAAGAGACTGTCGTGTAGACGCAACGAAATCTTCAGGCAAATCATGAAGAACCCAAAGGTCCTCGCTATGTAAAGGACCAAGGTACATATGATCAATACTGTGTAGATGGACACCATTCGTTTCCGTTTGGACGTGTACTCCGCATAGCTGTCGTGTTCCGTGGGTTGCGTTTCTTCCCAAGTGGCCCTATGCGAGAAGAACAATTAGTTGGAGCAGTGACAATCTGCGAAGCGTATCGAGGAGTACTTACCACCGGGCAATGAATATATCCATTAGAGCTTCGCACGCTCTGGCCATTATAAATAACAAAAACACAAATATGATGACCCACGGCTTGCCCAGGGCATGGAAATACGAGAGATAGGTTTGCAGTCTGACCGAGCCCTGCATTTGGTTCTCTTTGCGGTCCTCGCCTTTGTCCTGTTTCGTGACACGTTCAACCTCGTCTTTGGTGTCCTTCTTGTCGTTGTCAATTATGCTGTCCGTATGCTTCAGAGCCTGCTTGCTATCCTCTTCCTCCTGCTCCAAGAGAGCACGAAACACGATACTATGCTTCAGCGTCTCGTAGGGACCCTGTTCGACGACTCTGGCATTTTCCATCAGAATCAAGTGATCGGTGTTCTTGAGGTGGTGGATGTGATGGGTGACCAGGATGCGTATTTTATCGGTCAAGAATCGATTGAAGCACTTGCTGAGCAACAATTTGCCCACATGTGAATCCACGGCTGATAGGGGATCGTCAAAGACATATATATCGGCTTGTCTGTACACAGCCCGAGCGAGGCCGATACGAGCCTTTTGGCCACCGCTCAAACTGATACCCCGTTCGCCCACAATTGTGGAGTCGCCATAGGGGAACAGCGAAATATCCCTCTCCAGCTCGCATGCATTGAGGACTGCCTTGTAGCGGGCTTCGTCGTACTTCTCCACAAACACTATGTTATCTCGTATGCTGCCTTCGAACACCCACGCTTCCTGCGGGGCGTAGCTCACCTGGCCGTTGACCTCAACGTTGCCGTGGATAATTTCCAATTCTCCGAGAATGGCATTCAGCAGGGTCGTCTTGCCCGACCCAACATTTCCCACGATGCCCACAAATTGTTTTTCCGTTATAACAGCACTGACATTGTCGATGTGCTTTCGACGGCTCTCGGAGTCCACCTTATCCCAACTGGCCGTCAAGTTGTGCAGAAAGACGCCCTTCTTTATGGCCCTGGGATTGTGGACACGCCCGCTGAAATTGCCCTTGTCGTCGTCATCATCCATGGCGAAATTTTCAATGCCACCGTCGGCAGGGTCCTCGCTCTGCATGAGGAACATGACCACGCGACGAGCACACACCACTGTCTCCGCCCAAGTGGTTACGGCCAAGGGCCAGAAGTGCAGCAGCGAATCGTTCAGGACATCGTAGTACGAAGACACAATAAACACCTTCTTGGCCGTCACTATGTCGCCCGTGTACACGTATGCCACCAAGCTGATGAAGAGCGAGAATTTCGATATCATGTTGGTGCACTGCAAGGCGGCATAGATGTTCATCGAACCCCTGATGGCCTTCACTTCTTTCTTCCGTATAATGGCGATCAGCTTGGCAAACGACTTCTCCCAAGCGTACATTTTTATGACCTGCATCGCAGTGATTATCTCGTTCATAAGGTTGACTCGGTCATCGCCGTGCTCGGCCGACTCGTATCTGAAGTGAGCCGAAGCCTTTGCCGCCCAACCCTGCAGCGGAATGAAAATTATGATGAAGCCCAGGCCAACGATGGCGGGCCATCCCACCTGCAAATACATCAAGTAGCCCATGATGCAGGCCTCAATCGGTCCCTTCCACAGGTCGTGAAAAAAGTAGAAGGTAATGTCAAACTGGGGCAAGTCCGACGACAAGACGGCAATGGCAAATCCGCTCATGCCTCGATTGTCTGCAGTCACTGAGGAACGCAGACATTTGCGATACACCAACCCAGAGCATGCCAATCGTATTCTCGTCCCCACTTCGAAGAGGTAGAACATGAAGGGATGGAAACACAGTGTCGCCACCAGTGAGCAAAGGACTATGCCCGTGGCATAGAGGTAGGCCTGTTGTTTGCTTATGTCAGTCTGGCCCTCAGCAAAATAGGACACCAATCCTCCCAAAAATAAAGGTTGGGATGAACTGAAATTAGAAAGAAAGTCATTATGAGAGGAAATTTGCCAGCATGCTTGTGGTTTGTGGAAAATAAATGTGGCTCCGTGATACTATAGTACAATATGATTGCAAGAATCTGCAGATTTCACTGTAGTATAGTATCTGTATATAATACTGTTACGAAATTCGAAAGAAAAATAAAATTATTTTGAAAATTCTCAAATTCTGTTGAAATTTAAATTCATGTCTACAGTTTTTGGGAGACTGTACTTTCGCTTTTTGGGATGAAAATCGTATTAGAAAAATCCTCCTCGTCGTTCCGAACAATTTTCGCAATGGATTTATGAATATACATTTTGACAATGGTATGCTTTATAATTTTGGAAACAATTTTAAACATACGCTTGCATGAGTCCATCTTCTTAATTCTACAATGATAAAAACGAATAATGGAAAAATGTTGGAACTGGAAAAACCTACATTTGGAGGAATTAAATCATGTTTGAAAAATGACCCTGCTTTTATTTGATTGGCTTGAAGCTATGTAATTTGCGAATATATTTCACTCACACTAAGGGACGTACACAGAAAGACATCAAAATCACTTTTCCATGTAAAATGTTCAAAAAAAAATAATCATTTCAGGCCCTCTGAAATGATTATTATTATTATTTTTTATTTTTTGCCCACAAGCATTTATCTCTGTTCCCAGATACAAATCTTAGCCAGAGAGGTAGAGATTCAAGACACTAGTTTCATACTTGACGAACTTATCTTACTATAACTGCGATGTGCCCAACGATAAGATATCCGAATGGTGGACACATTATCTGATCCCACTAACGTGCTCTCTTAGCGACGTTATTAAAAACTGACTATATATGTGTGTGTATTTTTTGTACTCGATGTTTTGTAAAAATTGTTACATGATTTTTCTAAATGTTCACTTTTTTTAAGTAAAAGTCGGGTAAACGAGAGCGAAATGAGCAACAAACGTTGACTTTTTGCCTCGAGATCTTTCGCAAGAAAAGATGCCGAACCACAGTTTGCACCTCTGATTTGTTAAAGTTTCGGTCAGCTATTTCTAACTTTCCGATTTCTAGCTAAAAAAGTTTAAACTGGTAATGTTAGTCTTTTTGGCGGCTTCCAGAAGTCAGATCCTTACTTCTTATTCCTTTTTAAAATAGAGTAATTTATTATACATCTGCATATTTCTATGAAAAAATATATATTTTGACAGCAGCCGGACTTATTTTATACCGTTATAGTGTTGTATAAAAATCCAAGCACAATATTTTATTTGGCAACTAAATTGAAAAAAAAAAACGAAACAACAATAACCCAAATGAATCAGTAGCGATTGATTACCTATAATCTCCACCGGACGAAGCATGTTTACTTCATTTGATCGACACTGACCACATCAATTTGTGTAATGTCCGATATGCGTCATGTACAAAAGATCAACTTGTTTGTTAATGATGTATTTTGTAAATATCCTATTTTTAAGTTAATACATATTTTAATTTCATTAAAAAATAATATTTTCGTATAATAGGTATACATATTTCAAAATATATTTATACCCCAACACAGGGTGTGTGTGTTTACTTTCCATATACTTACTGTATCGATATCTCCAGTATTGAGTACAATATGCAAATTGGCACAAACTTCCACCCGTACGCACGGAATATCATGTGCAAAAGATTTGGTTTCTTTCGCCTCACTTCCTTCTCCCAGTGTTTGATGAGTGCAAACGAGACATTTCTACTGTCCAATGTGGGGATGTGTGCATACAAATCGTCTGGTTGCAACTGCTCCCTGTAGCCCCGTTTGAATGTGTCACGTGTCCACCTGCGAACAAAGAACAAACATAAACAATGACCAACATCGAATCACAACAACTCCCTTCGTCTGTCGTAAATCAAAGCACGCCCCTGTTGGGTAGCGGGAAAAATATGACAGGCCATAAACTATTTACAAAATCCCACCAACAACAACTCTCTCACTGATCCTTTTGACTGACAGCCGTAAGTCGCAGTCAGTCACTTTTTGACTTGTTCTACATAAATACTTTGTTTATTTTTGTATTTTATTTTTATTAGATAAGAATTGAGATTTTCCACAACTCCCCAAAAAAAAAAAAGGTCCGCACACTTAATGGTAGAAAAGTTCATGTCTTACGAATTTTAAAATTGTCATTTTTTTCAACATTCCAATAAGTTCTACAAATAATATTTACTGATAAATAAAATTACTTGAATGACAAAGTCGAATTCTGGTGCAAACGAGATGGAGATTTTGGCAAACTGGAATATGTTGCTAATGAATAAGATATGAAGTACGTTTACCATCATCAGAAATCCGGATTAACCAAATAAACCCTGCTGATACATAATTTGTAATAAGTCTTACAAGTGAATTTGAATATTAGAATACGCACACACAGAAACACTTTCCCATCTCTGATTTCAGTATATTCAAATTATTCAGTGATTTCAGTATATACGATGTGATGTCTGTAGAGGGATTCTCTAGCTCTTTCTTTGAATTACCGACAAAAATCGGTAACTTCCGAAATTCAGTTCCTTCCTTTCGTTTTAATTCTATCGATTTTTTCGGTAACTAAAAAGTTAGAGAAACCCACCACAGAAGTATAATTTTGTTAACGATTGTAAACATATATGGACTGTTCCAGAACTGCAAGAATGTAAAAGTTTTTACTGCGACAATCGATTTTACCTTTATGATATCAAAGATAATTTTCAAAACTAGTAGATTCTTGCAGGTTCTGGAACACAGCAATAATATCACAAGTTTTACCATGTAAACATATTAGAGTGTATTGGCTTTATTCAAAGAAAAATAGTTGGTCTCAAAAAAGAAAATAGCATTGAATGTTAACCAACTAAGCCTTACAAATCTACTGTGTTAACCTTGTGTACGGTTAAGGAAACCGGATATACGAGACGATCATCATAAAAAAACACATTCTGAATCGATTTATGTATGTCCTTCCGTTCGTCTGGCCTTGTTGCATTTATTGAGTTGAAACTTTGCACATATCGTTTGTTTGAACCAAGGACGAACGCTATACAGTGTGAGATGAAAAACTGCAACCAACTTCAGGCTGCTGTAGAAATGACAGCAGTCTGAAGTTGGTTGCAGCTTTTTCGTCCGACAGCTGTTAAAATTATTTCAGTGAAAGCTCAGTATATTGCTTACAAGCGTACAAAAGCATTTTGGTGAGAATTTTCCAGAAACAAAGTTATTCGTGATGAAGACCAAGCGTGATAGTGTGATTTTCTTATATTTGGCAGGAAAGCCACAAGTGGCTATTAGTAAAGTTGGAGCACTCCAGCATTTAAATATAAACAAATCTTTTGTGTCTCGTACCGTGATACTGTTAGCGTAGCACGACGTCAAGGAAATGTACGAAAGAAAACAGCAACATCAGCAGAAATGGTTCGAAAAGTAAAGAAGCGACTTGATCGAAACCCGCGTCGCAGTGGCCGAGAAATGAATCGTGAGCTGAACATATCGCAATATTCAATTCGACAAATATTGAAAAATGAGCTCGAGGTAAAACAATTGAAATTGCAAAAAGTGCAAGAACTTACACCGCAACAGAAAGAAATAGGCTCAAAAGAACTAAAGAGTTGCTTCGCTGGGCCAAAAGTGGTGAACTGTCGAATTTAGTTTTCTCCGATGAGAAAACATTCGTTGTCCAGCAGTTTATAAACAAACAAAATGATCGTGTTTACCTGACAAAGAGGTCAACTGAAAAAATGTGCACCTTCGTGTGATGGTGTGGGCCGCCATAACAGCCGATTTTCGCTCTCCGCTCGTATTAATCGACCGTATCAGAATATATGCCGAATATTATCGCGAAACTATTCTGGAGGGTGTATTAATGCCTTGGGCACGCAAACATTTTGGCCGCAGACCTTGGACATCCCAGCAGGACTCAGCACCATCGCACTTAGCACGCGCCACCCAAGAATGGTTACAAAATGAGGTTCCTCGCTTCATTTCCAGCGCACAATGGCCATCAAAATCTCCTGATACCAATCCGTTGGACTATTGTGTCAGTTGTACTTTGGAAAGCAAGGTTGACACTAAAAAATACCAAAGTGTCGATCACCTCAAGCAACGTCACCAATTCCAACAAATCTAAACTTAGTCGAAAATTTGATGCTATTTCCGACATTTTTTGCTTTCATTCAATAAAATTAAAAAAAAATGTAAAAATTATGTCGTTTTATTTTTTTGCAGTTTTTTATCTCACCCTGTATATTTTCACCCGATTTCACGTTTATTGCGCCCAAATCCAAATAAAATGAGTTTGGGCAATTATGACCCACCATAGACACTAAGTAAGTATGTTGATTCGATTCAGATATAGCTTCCACATACATGTGAACCATATATATGTAATATTAGCCTAAATAGTATGAAATTTGGCACATTCGACCAAATTCAGCCTAGAAGTAATTTTATGAAATTTGGCGAAAATCGGATCAGATACCTCCAATATTTGTATTTCATCCGATATTTGAATCCCCCACATCCGTAATTTACACTCATACGATGCAAGTACATAAAATTTGATGAAAATCAATTCGGATAGCTCCGAATTATATTCACAGCCAATTTTAATTAAAGTCCTATTAAAGTGACTCGTTAGCAACGATATCTTTTATGCGAGATCGAATACATAATGTAGTTGAAATCGATTAAGAATCAGATATGAAACCGCTTTAAAATCGCAACACGCAATCAATAGCGGTCATAGTTGGTATTTTTAGTCCAACTTTTCTTTACTGATTTCCTTTTGGCACTGTGAGAGGCTGTTATACTTTTTTGAGTTATGGTGTTTATTTCCTTGGCGAGTAACACATTTGCCATTTTGTCTTGCCGATTCGACGTAGGGAACACGATTGTTGGAGTGCATGAATCATTTGAATACAACGTTTTATTCTCATTCACGGAAGCTTTTGGACGTCTAATCTTCCTAGCCAAAAAAAACAAAACAGAAACAGATATAATAAAAGAACGCGTTTTAAAAATAAACAATCAATATTTATTTTCAGCACTGCCCCACAAATTCAGCTGCAAATATACAGACACATGTACATCAGCCATATTGTACGTGCGGCGACTCTACTTCTGCTTTATCGCGTCTTTAGACTCAACAATTAAAGCATTTCAGATAATTTGAAAAGACATTGTGGGAATGCTTATTCATATAAATTCATACAAATATATTGAAATAGATTAGCAACACTTCAAACCTGTCAGATCTATGTAGTTTCTCTAAAATCTCGCGGCAATTTTGCTATTTTATTATAAGTGTATTTTATTCTAAGTTGCCTAAGGTACTCAAGGTTTGAAACAAGAAACTACCAACTGATATTTTTCATTATTAAAACAAGAAAGTAGACCTGTAAAGTTTGCCCGGAAGAAAATATTTTTTTATGAGAGAAAGAGGGTCGAAGAAGAAGCGACATTCACCTCATAGAACTCCTTTCTTTCCCATAAAACTCATTTTACGTTTCCCTTTCCTTCCCCCTCTGTTTTCATGGGCTATGAACTGGTCACCAAGGAGGCAAATTAATGAAAATGTAATCAATTGCAATATTTTCATAATTATTTAATTTAATATTATTAATAGAGATTACATTTTTGAACATTGAAAACAAAAACACAATATTGTAATAGGGTTGTGACCATGGGAATTAGAAAAATGCTAACTCTTGAACACATTTTTTTCTTTTGATGCCCCCATTCTTTAAAAACATATACATGGTTGGATATGTGTGTGGTGTGGTAAAATAAAATCCAAAGTAGGACATTGAAATCATCTGGATAACATGTTGACCTATGTTAGAAATTTTTATAGAGTTAACCTACTTTAAGAGGATTAATTTGAAGTATAAAGGTGTAAGTACAAAAGAAGTGACATTTCATAAAGGGATTACAGAGCCGCACTAAAATCCTGCCGTCACTTTCCATTATAAGTTGACATTAATATGCCTACACATGATTTCAAGCCTTTTATGTACTTGCATCTTAAGTAGTGGATATTACAATTTTAATCCAAATCCAGTGTGCTAACACATTTATATGTAAACGTACTGTAAAATAAAAATTAAATTCGTCGCTTTTAGGGAGAATATAGTACGTTTACGTTGTAAGGGATTCAGAAAACCAACTTCCTCGTATAGCTCTCATATAACGGTAACCTCCCGACATTCGGTATGATGGTGGGTTTTCCACGGATTTGTCTACAAAATGATATTCGTAGTTTGGAATAAGTTCTAGCTTCGGTTGCGGAACATTGTACATATAGGTTTCGTATAGCCCACATATAATGGAACCTCCCAATATTCGGTTTTTGATGATTTTTGACACACTTTTAAAAAGAATTTGCAAAAAAATGATGGGCTCCAGCTCAGGTGGCGGTACATTGTATATATAGGTCCACGTTCTCGTACAGATGATTTTTACAACATTATTTTTTCACGGATTTGCCTAAAAATGTTTATTTGTATTTCATAATAGTGGAGGATATTACACTTATGTTTTTTACTTGTTTCATATTTAATATTTATATTTAATAAACCCGTCTTTCCTTGTGCTTATTGTACTGCTGTATCATGTGTGTGCGTGTTATTTTTAATAATAGAGAGAAAACAATTTGACATATGCAATTATGTTGAACACCCAGAACGATTTCCCGTAGGGAGCCGAACATTGAAACCAATTATTTTTTTAGGTCGTGCCTCCTTACCAAAAAAACCATTTCGATAAGAAATTGGCTTCAAGTATCGGATTAGGTTTACGCTCGTTTTTGTACTTTGATTTGTTCATATTTATGCATGTATTTATTTATTTATTTCAGGATCGCACTGTATTCGGTTCCGTTCGTATTCAATTTTGGTTTCTGGTACACATAACGCACAATTCAAACGACCACAGTGATGTACTATGTTTTTTTCATTCGACTGCCTGAAATTTTTCCCGCTATATACACACCGACCACTTCAAAATTCTCACGAGATATGACTGCCGTTCACATCATTGCCAAGTTTTTAATCAGAATGCCGCTAAATAATTTCCGAAAAACAAACATATGTACGTACTGACATTGTCATATATGTATTTACGACACCAAAGCCCGACAACAACGTCGATATCTAGGTTCTACTAAATTAACCTTTTTTGATGAATTTATCTAAATCCTTGCGGACAGTTGGACATCACGGTGAAGATGTTTTGTGAGCGACGGCGATTTCATTTGAAAGAGACCCAGCTATTGGCTTGCATACACACACGAATGCTATCATGGTACTATAATTAAATGTAGAATAAGTTACAAAAATAAGAAGGTTTTTTTCGAGTTTGTAAAAAAAATTCCAAATGTATAATACTAAAAATGGTAAACATCGCATAACTTGCAGATCATTTGAGGTTCAGAAACAGAATATATATTAGTTGTATATTTTTACTGATATTTAATTTTTTGTAAAAATGTCACTGGATGTTGACTTTTTACTCAAAATCCCAGTAAAAGAATGCGTAATGAAGAGAGGTTTTGACATTAGTGTGTGCAGGGAGAGAACGAGCCAGATTCTCTTAATTATTAATGAGTAGTTTTTTCAACGATTCGAACGAAAGCCATTTAGTGTTCTTGGTCAGTGAACATATTCTGCAATTCTGTACAACTTAAAAAAAATGATTTGGAAAACTTCTCGACACCATCGCGAACACACTTCAAGGCTGAAATATTCATAAGATTTACAGAATGTCAAAGCGTGGTACAATAAAAAGGTAAGGTAGACCTACCAGTTGATTACACTTTTTTTCGAAGTGTACCCGACTTCTGACAATTTTAGGTATGTCCCTGCAGGAATTGTCGAGAAACTTCTTTCTGAGAGAGTGAGGTAGTTTTATCCTTTTACTTCTAAGGTGACATATTTTATAACGTGGTGGTAAATTTTACCCCTCTAAACATTACAGGAAAAAAACTTTGTTAAAAATTTTATTTGATTGTTGCAAAATGGTCTGGCTTTATCCCTTTATTGTTGTTTTTATAAAAACAACGTTTGTTTATTAGTGGAGAACGATAAAGCGAAACGAAAGCATAACAAGTGGAGAAAGATGTAAATGTTTATAAGTGCGGTTGTAAGATTTAGAAGACTTTCCAAGAGAATTTTAGTTTTATTTAATTCTTTGGTTCCTCTTCTATTGAGCTTACGATCTCGGGTAAAAAATGTTTTGTCATAGAAGTTATTTTTAAAATAACTTCTGGGGAGAATATCCCAGACAAAAACAAGGGAACTGATGAGGATTGGTGGCTCTTTCCGAAACCTAGGTATTCCCTGCCTTACCCCCTGGTAAACATTACCATCGTTCTCCACTAATAAACAAACGTTGTTTTTATAAAAACAACAATAAAGGGATAAAGCCAGACCATTTTGCAACAACAAAATACTACGGTATCCCGAACAAACAAGCCACACTGTTCTAATTTTATTTGATAATAATTTGTTTTTTAAAAGTAAGCTTGTATATTTTAAATTACAATAAGTAAAAAAAAACATTTTTTTTATGTAAACGAAATTTTTATTCATTGTAATAGAATAGAGAATTTCAAGAAAATGTGAAGAGAGGGTAAAATTTACCACCACCTCAGAAGTTAAAGGTTTTCTCTTTTCCAAGAAAACTGTGAAAAGTAAACAGACGGAATCCCTGCAAAAACTTGCAAGCAATCAGCAAGAATTTGTAAACTCTTGGTGAAAGAACTGTCAAAGTTGTTCTTTCAAATCGCTCTCTTTTGCAGATAGTTTGTGTTAACAGACGACTTCCACGACGCGACAATTGTTACAAATTTTAGGATAACCAGACACCCTTTTTGCGTATGTATTTATTGTTTTGAAAAACAAATTTTTTTCAAAATCAATGATTGGAAGAAACATACATTGCAGGGCTCAAATTAAAGGTAATAACTATTCCATGAAATTGAAGGATTGATCAATTTAGATCAAGTTTTTTAAAGAAAATCCACACATTTTATTCATTATTCGCGCTTTTTAATCTGTATTCAAAATAATGATAAATATTAAATAGCTTAGAACCACCTGTTGCATCTACTTTTGAATAAGTCTTATAGAATTATATAAAAGTTGCACAAAAAATTGCTCTTTAGTCGCAAAAGCTTACCGCGGCTTACTGTCATAATAAAAATTACTGGGTAAACTTTACTGGAAAAGTAAAAAAATATACCTATTTGTTTATTGTATACGAGCGGATAAGAGTGACGCTGGGAACGAAAAAAAATAAGGAGGTAAAACAGCTTCATAAAACTTCTGAAACGCCGGCCTGATGCCATGCTTGCTTCCTGTCATAACTATTAATCATTGTTCCAGTTCGTTTGATATTTGTCCTAATTGTTAAAAATGGATCAAAAATCACAAAGGTGAACAAAATGCTTGGATTTTCTTTCAAAAAAATTTCAATACAATGGCAAAATTGGATATGTGACTATGCATTCGAAATTTTGTCGTATTAACGTGTTATGTGATTTTGAAAGCGAGCAACGTAGTTTAAATTCCAATGAGAACTATGAATATTTTTTGTGGAGCATTATATGTTCACAATATTAACAAGATGTCCTAGGGCTACAATTAAACCACTATTGACTGGGATATGTTGAAACCATTTCAACTTGCTTTGGCATCGAAATTGTATTTGAATTATAATTGCATAACATAAATTCACCAAAATTCAATACCGATTTCAAAACATGTACATATGTTCACAACATCTGAACGCCGCACTTTCCTTAACCATGGGAAAGCTCACTGGCCAGAGTTCAGAGAATTCACCAACCGCCGCTTCAGAGAACTGCCCAACCCTTCTGATGTTCGGGTAGCAGAAAGGATTTTCCGAAACATCATCAAAGCTGCAGCCGCTCGCTATATACCTGCTGGTCGAATACCCGAGATAAGACCAAACTTCCCAGCAGAGGCAGCGGGATTAGCAAACGAGTGTGATGATCTCCGTCGTACCAACCCTACTGATCCTAGAATCAGTGATTTGACAGTGGAAGTCAACCGGTTGGTACAGGAGCATAAGAGGAAAAAGTGGCTAGACCATCCGAAGTGCTGCAACATTAGAACCGATATGAGTAAGCTGTGGGTAACGGTTAAGTCGCTCTCGAACCCTGGAAAAAAGGATGATAGGACCTCAGTCACTTTTAACGACGTAACGGTGACTGATCCGAAGAGGTGCGCGGAATATTTTAATCGACAATTTGTCGAGCACCCCGAGAGCGATAGGGCGAAGCGAATAGTACTACGTCGTATCAGATCTCTTCCCGCCGAGGAGGAACCACCACAGTTTACGATGGGTGATGTTGCAAATGTCATCCGTAACGCTAAGTCATCCAAAGCGTTGGGCCCAGACGGAATATCAATGGTAATGTTAAAGCAGCTGGATACGCCGGGAGTCGAGTACTTAACGAAAGTTCTCAATTTGTCGCTAGCCACCCACATAGTGCCCGAAACCTGGAAATGGACCGGGTGGTCCCGCTTCTGAAGCCAGGCAAGGATGCCAGTAAAGGCGAATCGTACAGGTCGATTTCGCTTTTGTCGCCAGTAGCAAAGACTCTTGAGGCTTTACTCCTCCCCAGCATTAGAGAAAGCTATACAGTTGCCAACAACCAGCACGGATTCCGTCCACAACATAGTACCACAACAGCATTACACGCCATTTCCACACATTTTAGTAGAGGACTGAACCAGAACAGGCCGTGTGACAGAACAGTGTTGGTAGCCCTTGACCTATCAAAGGCATTTGATACGGTCAATCATGCCACACTGTTTGAGGACGTGCAGAGAACTACCCTCCGGCCAAGTTTGAAACGTTGGATAATCAACTATATGTGTGGACGTGGAATTCCGGAACAAGAAGTCCAAAGCCCGTAGAGTGAAACAGGGAGTTCCCCAAGGTGGGGTGATATCTCCGGAGCTGTTTAACCTCTACCTTTCCGGAATTCCTCGCCCTCCTGACGGCATTGAGATTGTAACGTATGCGGATGATTGTACGATCATGGCGTCGGGTCCAGTGGTCGATGACATATGCGAAAGGTTGAACCCCTATCTCACGGAGCTTGCCGCATACTTCCACGCGAGGAATATGAAAATATCCGCCACGAAATCAACGGCCACACTCTTCACTACATGGTCTGCGGAGATGAGAACACAGCTGAATGTTCAGGTCGAGGGGAATCTAATACCGACCACGAACTACCCCAAGATTCTTGGGGTCACGTTCGACAGCATGTTCAAGTCGTCCGCGCAAGCCACAGCTATCTGCGACAAGATGAAAAGTAGGAACAAGGTCCTCAAGGCGCTAGCCGGCAGCTCTTGGGGTGCGGACAAAGAAACCTTGTTGACATCTTATAACGCGATAGGTCGGTCTATGGTCAGCTATGCGGCTCCAGTGTGGTCTGCGAATACTAGTGCTACGCAGTGGAAGCATATCCAGACCTGCCAGAACGCTGCCCTGAGAACTGCGACATCTACATGAGGAGGCGAAAGTCCTTCCCTTACGTCAGCATAATCATATGCTTTCGTTGCAGTACCTGCTTGGGTGTTACCGTGAGAGTCATCCCAACCATCATATGGTGGATAAATCTCCCCCACCCAGGCGTGTCAGGAAGGACATACATGATCTAGAGAGGGAGGTCCAGCGCTATAAGAGAGAACCTCTAGATCAAGAAGCCTATCAGGCAGGTCTGAGTGGCATTCACACCGATGCAGTCGCGGATGCTATTAGCAGTTTTAAAGTGAATGCCGTCCTCGGAGTCCACCCCCCATCCATTGCAGCTGAAGAACGTCAGCTGCCTAGACAAACCAGGGTAGTTTTGGCGCAATTACGTTCAGGATGGTGTAGTCGTCTCAATTCGTATTGGGCACGTGACGCCTGCCCCGCGTGCGATACAGGCCCGCACAATACGCTACACCTCTTTAATTGCACAGCCAAACCTACCCAACTCACTCCAGAAGATCTCTGGCTACAGCCCGTTAAAGTAGCCGAATTTCTAAACCTGGAGCTGGAACCAGATTAGCAGAACCCAAACACACATATGTACTACAGCTACAACAACAACCGATTTCAAAAAATTGAATCGGATCGGTTTCCACGCCAAATTTGCATAATTATCATATAAATTTCACTTCTGCATACATATGGCCTGATAAAAAGATGTTCTAAATATTTGCAGCTAATTTGCTTTACTAATTTATTTATTTTCCGATTGCAATTGAAATAAGAAAGTACAAACAGAATATTTTTAACAAATCTCTTGTATTTGAATTTCAGACAAAAAAACATTTTCTGAAATATTTTATATAAACTATTACTATTTGTGCTTACAATGTAGAAAAAAGTGTATAAGTAACAAAGCACACAAAAGCATGTGTAAAATGGCAGTATTCAATTTTCCTACTTACATATAAGTACATTTTTATACTATATAAATATAAATTCATTAATTTATGTGTTGTATAGTACACTTGATCACAATTCACAGAGATTTATTAGACTTATCACTTGGATCTTGCATCCTCAATTTGTAATTGTTTTCCGCAGCTTGTAATAAAGCGGATGCTGTCGCCAATCCTGTATGATCGACTAAGTTACGTAGGAAACCACCTGGTTTCTGTAACAACTCGAATGGATGTCCCAACTCGACAGCTTGGCCCGCGTCCATTACCAATATACGATCGCAATCCATAACTGTGTGTAAACGATGCGCAATCGTTAAAACGGTGCATTTGGAAAATTTGGTGCGTATCGTCTTTTGAATAAGTTTATCCGTCCTAAAAACATATTATTAATCAAATAATTGTAAACATATCGACAAAATATTTTACATAGTAGAATATAATTATTGCATGCATAAAGTAATATATAAGAAATAAGAGTAGATAGCATATTATCATTGAATTTCGAAAAATTTTGTTCGCGTCCAACCCATGTCCCATTTCAAAAAAAATTGTTTTCTTACGAGTATTTTCCAGTCATAACTATTAACAAATCACCCTAGTTTCCACATAGTATTGGAGTCATATGCAGCTTTAAATATGACTCGAACATTGTATACTAGTCTTATTTTAACACCGCTACCTAATACCTAACATTTTAAGAACTTCAACGACTTCAATATAATGTGGTAATTTCTATTTGAATGCAGAAAAGTCATTGAGTTAAGCTAATATAATGAACCACTTTTCTTAATGAAAGAGGAAAGGAGGTTAAAAAAGTTGTTTTCGCTCAATTCGTTCGTATTCAAACGTATTCGTTTTTTTTATCCGGCTAAGAAGTAACTTGGCATGAAATAAATGATATGAAATCGAAAAAAGTTATGAACAATAGAAAACTTGTTTTTTAGATTATATACAATATATGGCGATACTTACTCGGGATCCACGTTTGCCGTTGCTTCGTCCAATATTAGAATTTTGTTCTTCCTCAGAATTGCTCTGGCCAAACATACCAATTGTCTCTGGCCAACACTAAAATTCGATCCACCATCATACATACGGCAATTAAGACCACCTATCAACGTAGAGACGTGTCCCTTTAATTCGACCTCCTCCAAGGCTTTCCACATGTCATCGTCATTACATTCATCCAATGGATCCAGATTGTAACGCAATGTGCCAGAAAACAGGACCGGGTCCTGAGGAATAATTGATATTCGGCTTCTCAAATCGTATAGACCCAATTGCTCTATATTGATGCCGTCAATATATATTGCACCTTCGTTGCAGGCTAAACGGAATAATGATTGGACAATTGAAGATTTCCCAGCACCAGTTCTGCCAACAATGCCAATTTTTTCATTTGCCTGTGTGGCAAAGTTCAAATCTTTCAGGACGTAGCCTTCCTTTGGACTGTACTTGAATTTGAAATTGACAAATTCAATGCGACCTTCACTCGGCCATTCACCTTTGGGCTTGTTTTTCTCCTCTGTTTCCATTGAAGACTCTGGGGGCTGCTGTGTGTACTCCAATATGCGTTCGACGCTTGTCATTTGATTTTCCAATTCTGCCGTTTGGCGCATGCCCCACTGACACATTCCAATCATTGTCATTGAATGTAAAATTGCCAAGCCGACATCGCCGCTATTAAAGTCTGCACCCAATACGAGAAAACTAAATGTTACAACACTAATGTAGAACACACAAATTACATCTGTCCACAGCGCAAACGCTCGTGTGCATGAGAGAAACAAAAACCATGCTGAGGTATTAGCATTTTGATAGCCATGAAATTCCGCTTCCAAAGCAGGTTCAGCTTCCAAAGCTCTTATTGTTGAAAGACCTTGGAAGGTCTGGTTCGTAAGGGAATATATAGGACTGCGAGCTGAAAGATTCAACGGATGTTGCGATATTTAGATGGTATTGAAAATATTATCTAACTATTACAAGCAAAGATTTAAGATTGTTTATATTTAGTTAGCTTTACACTTACATATCGATTCCAAGCGCTTCACGCTGCGACTTGTCTTTATATACACGAAACGAATGCCCACTAAACATATTAATATCACAAAGGCAGGAACCAGAAGCCAATAGTTGGCGATTGCAACAATAAGCATTACACCAGATATATCGATGGCGAACTGTAATCCAAATTCAAAACCAACATTCATTCACAATAAACCACTAATTCACCAACAAAACCTACCGACAAACAATCCATTAGTGTGTGAGGCAAATCTGCGTCAACTGTCCGAATGTCTTTTGAAAATCGATTAAGAATCCGACCAGATGGATTAGTATTGAAGAAATACATGCTTGTGCTAGTTATCCCCTGAAATAGACGATCGTGCAATTTCAGAGAAATCCTAAGGCACATCTTATAGAAGCCAAATGTACGCAGTAAATAGACAATTAGAGTTGAGCCCAGCATAGCTGAATATATTATCACACGTTTTTGGCGTTCGTGATCTTCATAGGCAGTGCTATCCGTTGTACTCAACACATCGGAAAATGTGGTGAAGTTTCCAACATTCGAATCCGTATCATTTGCTGTGTGATGAATATTTTCTTCCCATATGACCCTGAAAGCGAAAAAACAAGGCATTTTAAATCAATAAATTAACGTTTGATTTACTAAAATTACGCAGAGATGCAAAAAATTGTCGCCAGCAAAATGAAATTGAATTTGTTCAGAATGAAGTAGTACCTAAAAAGGTCTTGTGTTCTTCACATTCAACAACACCCGATTCACATCCAAGTAATTCTTCATAATTACTACTCAAAATGTAAAATCATATTATTTTTAAAATAATAGTTGTGTTCCAGCAAACGCAATATAGTATCATTTTGTATTATTTTTACAATCTCTACTCGAAAACCGTTCTCGTATACGAAAACCAAACAAAATGTTCGCATAATAAAGATAGTATAATAAAGAGAGCTCGATTCTCCTAGACTATTGTTTAGTTGGTGATGGTGAATCGAGGTGTAGGGTTCGAGTTTCTAGTGAATTTGTAAGATAAATTATTAGGTTTAATATGTTATTTGTTTGAATTAATCATAGAACTTAAATAGCACAAAAATGAATAAATTGTTTTCGAATTCGAAGATCAATCATAGTGACATCTGCCGGAAGGGGTAAATTTTAAAACATTTTAGTCTATACCTTTACTTGACTATTGTTTGGCCATAAAAAGTACGAGAGCACGAATTCTTTACATGCTAGAAACAATGTATAGTAATGGGTGTCCACTCGGACAAAATGACATTAATGTTATTCCTAGGATGTTTGGCACTGTTATCCATGTTTAATTATAACCCCATTAACAGTCATGTTTGATTTATAATGAGTATATAGAGAAGAAGGTATTCAAGCAAAATAATCAAAAACGTAAACAATATGAATAAGTTTACTGAACATTTTTACACATCAACTGTCCAAATTCGTCTCTCATTTACTAGACTTCAGCTTATATGGAATACTTACCATCGGGAAAGGAAGTAGTCAACGCCATTTAGCATAACTCGTGCACAAATAAAAAGCCCAACTATTAGAATCAGGATAAATGTGCTCTCTAGTGCCTTAAAATAGGATAAATAGACGTCTAACTTTACCGACCCAACAGCTTGTGCTTCTTTGTTAGCATCTTCGACGGGTGATTCATCGGGTCTCAAAACTGGATGGTAATGTTCTGTACTCTTTTCCGAATCGCTTCGGGACATATGACTATTTACGCTCACTTCATCTGCTGCAGTCTCGCCAGGCCCACAATCGTGATGTGTTTGTGCCAAAAATTGGAATTGCTTTGATTTCTGCAACTGCTGATAGCTCCCTTGAGCCACTATACTACCCGAGCCCATAAGAAGCAAATGTTTGACGTCGTAAAGATACTGCAGCTGATGTGTGACTAATACCCGTACTTTGTTGGATAAGAAATCGTTTATGCATCTTTCGAATATATGTTTACCGACATTAGTATCAACGGCGGATAAGGGATCGTCTAAAAGGTATATGTCAGCCTTGCGGTAAACAGCTCTGGCCAAATTAACTCGAGCTTTTTGACCTCCGCTCAAACTAACGCCGCGCTCTCCAATCATCGTCAAATCCCCCCTTGGCATTAGTTCTATATCTCTTTCCAAAGCGCAGACCTTCAGGACCCGTTTATATCGTCTCTCATTAAAGTCCTCAACAAAAACTACATTGTCACGCACAGTTCCTTCAAAAACCCACGGTTCCTGGGAACAATATGAGATCTTTCCATTAACGACTACTTCGCCGGAACCGATTTGAACTTCGCCCAATAATACATTGAGAAGGGTGGATTTTCCTGCGCCTACTGGTCCAACTACTGCAGCCAATGTCTTATCCTTGAATTCGCAGTTCAATTTTTCTACTGCCATATTTCCACAAACATGCGATGTTGTACTTTCCCATGTGGCACTAACATCGCGTAGAACAATACTTTTGTTGGTGGATTCAAGATCAACTAATCTTAAATTTTTTATAGGACTCGATCCTGCAATTGGTACAATATCGTTTTTTCCTACACGATCAACGTGTTCAAGCCCCCTCTTATTGTTGTTTACTAAATATTTTTTTAACGACTTTTTCTTCCTTTTCTTTTCCCTCTGAAGCGGAGCCTCAGCTTGGTCACCATCCAGTAGAAATTCCTTGCATCTGCGTGCTGAAACACACGCTTCGGCTAAAAAGGTTATGGATAGCGGCCAAAAATGAACCATGGACTCATTTAACATATTAAAGTATGACGATACTGTATATACGCGTTTTGCGGTTAAGGCATCTCCCAAGTAAACGTATGACACCAGCGCCATGAAAACCGACAGGGGAGAAATCATGGAAGTGCAGCTTAATGCTGCATGGATGTACGACGTTCCACGAATAGCCTTCACTTCCTTCACGCGTACCTCGGCGACAACTTTGGCAAATGATTTCTCCCACGCGTACATTTTTATCACCTGAATGCCCTGAATGATTTCATTCATCAGTTTCACTCTTACATCGGTTCGTTCCGCCGTTTTTTGCCGGTAATAAGCCGCTTTCTTTGCAGCCCATGCCTGTAAAGGAATGAAACTCAGCATGAAAGCAACGCCGATCACAGCCGAAATACCGATTTCACGATACATTAAATATCCTATTAGAAGAGACTCTGTTGGTCCCTTCCATACGTCGTGCAGAAAACATAGCGCCACGTCAAATCTTCCCAAATCATTTGAAAGAATGTTGATTGCACGTGCCCGCAATGCATCGTTGGAGGCGCTCCTTGAAAGTTTTAGGCATTTGCGGTATATAAGACCCGATAAAGCTAGACGTATTTTTGTGCCAACTTGAAATATGTAGAATATAAAGGGGTGGAATGTTAAAACAGGAATACTGGAACACAAAACGATGCCGCCCGCAAAAAAGTAAGCATTTTCTTTGCTTATTGAACTTTGTCCATTGGCAAAATATGCCACAAGACCGCCAAGGAACAGTGGCTGTAAAGCTCTGGAAAATATTGTATGTTGTAATTATTCATAACATCGGTATAGATGAAGGTCATTTGCTTACTTTGTTGCAGATTCGCATATTGCAAAAAGTACTCCAAGTGGAAGAAATACTGAACCGTAAGCTTTAACAATCATCCGAACAACGCTTGGTTTTTTCTTTCTTCTTTCCTCTTCCCACAGCCGGCTAAACTTTTCTGTAACTCGTTCGCTATCCAAATTCTTGCGATGCTGATAGAGCTCTTCATCTTCCAAAGGTCCTTTAAGGCCGCGTCGAAAAAGATCTTTCATCCACCTAAAAAGTACATATACAATTAACAGTCATATTCATTATTTCTAATTAGTTTCTGGTCAAATTTCCCATATTAGAAATTGACCAAGATTATTCAATGTTGCCCTCCATTAGGCTCTAAACGTATATATAACAATATCTTTATCTTTTATAAAATTAAACACTAAACTCAATTAAAAAATGAAGATAAGCAAAAATAACAACTAATTGTATAATTTGACGAACAAGCCATGATTTACAAAAACAAATTACCACAAGAAAACCATAAAACATTCAATAATTTTTAAAAGAAAATAAACATATCTTCACGTTCTAGAGGATTTAAAAAGATTCAAAGGAGAAGTTGACTGCAATTTAAAATTTCTCCAATCAACATTGACCTTAAATCCGAGCTGAACAACATAATATAAAGAGATTGTTTAACAGAAAATTAAAGTTGGATATTTTATTTATTTATATTTATTTACATAATACATATATAGTGATTGGTTGGTTGTTTAACAAAAAATAAGAAAAATTGGCCACCTGTGCCAGAATAACTTCTAGCTCAGCATTGCCTTAAATTCACAACGCATTCAAACCTACAACCAAGAAACACGTTCTTGTAATGTTCGTTTAGAAATTTGTACAGTGTTGTTGAAGAATGGAAAGTGTGAAATAAAAAAAATTAAGGTTAACGAAGAAGTCTACTACATTTAAAACTATTTGATGTTCATGTTCAAAGTGGCTTCAACAATGGGTGTGTCTGGTTACTTTTCCTGTAGGAATTGTCCAGCAACTTCTTTCTGAGAGAGTAAGATAGTTTTACTCTCTTTTGCAAGAAAACTGTGAAAAGTAAACAGACGGAATCACTGCAAAAACTTGGAAGCAATCAGCTGATTAGTCAAAAGGAAACATTTGTGAGCCATAAAAAGAGATTAATTATGCAGAAAAAAATGGCCGGAAAAAAACAAAACAATTACGTTTGCGATTTCCAAAATATATATGTTTTTTAAATTGCTTGTCCAAATATAAATCACCGGAAGGAGAAGAACAAGAGTTGCAAATGATTGCAAGAAGAAATTTGTCCAGCAGTGAGAACTGTCAAAATTGTTCTCTCAAATCGCTCTCTCTTGCAGATATTTCGTGTTAGCAGACGACTTTCAGTAATAATTTGCAACAATTGTTACAAATTTTAGGGTAACCAAATTTAATGAAATTTTAAAAATTTTTGGGAAGACTGAAAATTTTGAATGAAAACTACAATGTTGAATGGCGTATGTACATTCAAATAAAAGTACATTTTGTTTTCTCTCTCTTTCGAGAGTTGTTTTACTATGAATTACGAATCGTACAGTATGAACGGGTTAATTCGTGTACAAAATTCTGAGAACGAACAACGTGATTGAAAGTGTAATGAGAACATAGCATAACACGCTTATAAGAAATAAATGCATATATAATAATGGTTGAAAAACCAAAATTTGAAAATCACCCTTAGAATACATTATGTAAGAACATTGACAACACTTGTTGGTGAACAATCCTCGCAAAACACATGTATGCACGTAAAATGGGTACGAATACGTTTTTAACGAAAATTTGCGACACATCTTAGGGTAAGTGCGCCTAAGTTCGGCATGTCCCAGTAGGTTTGCAGTTTTGCGGCAGTTTTGAAATTCCAACTTAAATAACTAAGAATAGAATTGACCAAATAATAAAAAATTGCAAAAAACGTCAACAGTGTTCTCTGCTCTCTTTCTGTAAAAAAGCAATTAGCTCCAATCATTTATTAAAAGATAATAACGGTTTTCGTCAGTGAGTATCTTCCAACGCGTGCGAGAGTTCTTGTTTGTAAAGAAAACCAGTAAAGAAAGTCTTAAAGTCGGGCGGGGCCGACTTTATGATACCCTACACCACTTTGCTAATTTAGTAGAGCTCCACATAATAAAAGTTTTTATAGGAGAATTCAATCATACACGCTATGATTATAATTATAACATAAAGTTCAAAGGACTAAATATGCCGAAGCATTTGTATCTCTTAAATTCGGAATTGTATTGCCCATTTGGTGCACAATTAATTTGAAATCGGATAAAGATATATATGGGAGCTATATCAAAAACCGATCTCGATAAAATTTGGCAAAGATATTTTTGAGCTGTATTTGATATATTTCCCTGAATATCGTTGTTACGGAGTGCATATTACGGTTGCGGGTAACAAATATAACAAATCGGATGAATAATATATATGGGAGCTATAGCTATATCTGAACCGATCTTCACCAAATTTGACATACTAGCTTCTAGACTCAATTCGGTCATAAGTGTCAAATTCCATCCAATTTGGACAAATATTAGACGTTTGGTGCACAATAAAAGGTAAATCGGACGAAGTTATATATGGGAGCTATATCCAAATCTGAACCGATATCGATAAAATTTAGCAAATGTATTTCTGAGCTGCATTTGATATATTTCCCCAAATATTGTTGTTACAGAGTGCATATTATGGCGGCGGTGGACAAAAATAACAAATCGGATGAAAAATATATATGGGAGCTATAGCTATATCTGAACCGATTTCGATCAAATTTGGCATACATATTTTCAGACATAATTTGGGTGTATATGCAAAATTCCATACAATTCTGGTGCACAATAAAAGGCAAATCGGACGAAGATATATATGGGAGCTATATCTAAATTTTGACCGATTATTTCCAATTTCAATAGGGTTCGTCCTTGAGCCAAACAAATGATCTGTGCAAAATTTCATCTGGATCGGGCAATAAATGCGACCTGTACTTTGTTTACAAAAATACATGGACAGACGGACGGACGGACGGACGGACAGACGGACGGACGGACATGCATAAATCGACTCAGAATGTGATTCTATGCAGATCATCAAAAGGAACTATGGGTCTATCTCGTTTCCTTCTACCTGTTACAAACAAATGCACAAAGACATAATACCCTGACCACCTTGTGGTGTAGGGTATAAAAATAGTGGTGGCGTCAACTTAATAATCGATTTAAGTAAATTAAATTAAATACTTTTGGAATCAGAAATATTTTATAATAGTAAATAATAGTCTAAAGATCATTTTATAACTTAAAAACATACAAATCAAGCATTTTTCTGTTATATTATTTAATGCCGACATTAGGAACAAAAAAAAAGAGATTTGCCAGTAGTCGGCAGGGGGTGCCGATTACTAGAAAAATATCATTTTTGGCCAAAACTTGAGAAAAGTATTAAAAAATTATCCAAAAACTACTCAAATAAAAAAAATAGTTTTGAGTCGGCAGTTGCTTTTATATGTGCTTTTTAACCAACTTTTATTTTTTTACTTTTATTTTAATTGAAAATCCATACGCTCTCAGAATTATGTACACGAATTAACCCGTTCATACGGCACGATTCGTAATTCATAGTAAAATAATTCCTTTTTTCAAAAATTTTGTTTGTTGATTTTAATTTGAATTTATACGAAAATACATGAAATTCTCACTAATATAAATAGAAGAAATGATTGTTTTTCTCCTAAAGATTTATTATATCATTAATTTTATAATTTTCATTCACGTTTTCAACTTTTTGTGCAAATGTTGACATTTTGAATATATTTTTGTATTTTTCTATTTTTAAATTTTGCTGGAGAGACACTTGTCAAACATTTTTTCTGCCGAGACAAAGTTTTTGAAAATATTGCCTCTTTTGTTTGCAGTTTTTTGTGGAAATTTCAACTCGTGGATAAAATGCGTACCTCGAATCAGAGAGAAAACAAAATGTACTTTCGTTTGAATGTACATACGCCATTCAACATTGTAGTTTTCATTCATAATTTTCAGTCTTCCCAAAAATTTTTAAAATTTCATTAAATTTTTCTATTTTTAATTTTTAAATGTCATAATTTATTTTTTCGATAAATGCTCTCATTTGTTAGGGATGGGACATATTTTTTCGTTGTTCTGAGAGTGATTTGATTTGAACAACGTACAAATATGAGTGTTCGCTCAGGAAATTTTGTGTGAAGAATAATGTAGTTTTTTCATAGTTAAGGGTCAAACAACGAATAGAGAGCGAATCAAGTGCAGTGGAAACGCCACATAAAGTGTGAATTAGTAATATAACATTGCTTTATACTATTTGAAATACAAAATTTACAGAATAATATTTTTTACTAAAATACCATATGCCGACTATTGGCAAATAGACATGCCTAGCATTGGAAAATGGTGCCGACTACTGGCAAAAAACAAATTTTTTGGTAAAATTGCAAATTTTGCCAATTTAATAAAAACAAATTCACTTTTTGTTTATTATTTCGAAAATAAAACAAAATTTGGAATCTGAATAATTTTATTTACCTGCAATTGTAAGATTTCACTCAGAATGTTGGAAGATTGAAAAATCGAAAATCCTAAAAATGCGGACTACTGGTACACTTACCCTATATAAGGGAAAACTAGTTATCGTAATAAAAACTTCTACACTCTTGTAGTTCTGGAACAGAGGATATGTTTATTGTTTAGAATTTGGCCCAGTACCATTGCGTTTTGTGTACTAAATTTGTTGCTTCATTGCCGGTAAGATGTAAAACCAAAATATCTAGCATGTCAGAAACTAACTGAGGGGCTATTCACTGAGCTAAATAAGTGATTATGGACAACATGTGCAGTTGCGCTGTAAGGCCTAGCTTATAGTTTTGGAAAAATAATCGTACAGACCTATTAAGTTCTGACGTTACAAGCCTGTGCACTCGGTAATCTGCAACAAACAATTTTTAGACACTGTCCGAATTTACATTAGCAATTTTACTGCTGGCAAGTCTCTGCTTTGTAGAAGAAAAAGCTAAGGGAATAGAAAAAATTGGTCGAACTGGAAATTTGTTGACAATTCCCTTTGCTTTTTTGTTCCACAATATATCATAAATAGCAGACAAAAGAAGCAGTGATGAAAAATGAAAATTTAAAAAACAAATTTCCAAGAGAACAATACAAATTGTAAATAAACTCGTCCAGTCTAAATCAGGAAAATTTTGTTGGAGCTGCTACTGATGACACTGAGATTTTCTTTTTAATTTCTTCCACACATTGACAGAAATATATCATTTTTAATCTTAGGGAATTCTGCTAACTGTATGAAAGTACAATAATGAACACTGTCAAATGTATGTTAGAGACGTCATCATATTACCCTTACACATGTTCTGTAAAATACCGTAGCCTTAATTGAAGTCAAATTACACATACCGCATCACGTGCCTTTGCATTTCCTTAAAGAAATCTTTTCAATAAAATTACTTACCAAAAACTCCATCGTGAGAAGAGATTTGCTTTAGAATAGGGATTCTTCGGTCGTATGATTTTCTTGCGTGTCCTATTCATACTCCACTCCTGCCTCCGAACTTATTACAAATTTACAGTTACACGACCTATTCTCTTAAAATACGATCACTAGATATTGAGACAACTTAATTTACACTTTGTTTTTAGAAAAAATTAATATAGAACTTCACTCCAAGCGTATTGACGGAAGGCAGAAGATTAACTAAGTAATTATAAGAAGCAAGCTGAAAAGCAGCAACAAAAAAATAAAAAGTACCGACAAACACATCAAAACAACAAAGCATGCGTCCACTACCACAGCTTCGCGTAATTTCATGAGATTTTGCAATTAGGAATAATTTATCGATAAGAAATCGATAAATTAATTTTCGCATTCAATTTCCTTCATTCTCTCTTTCTTATTCTCTTTCATTGCAACCTTAATCAAGGCCAGGGCTGCCATTTGCCGGCATTTTGACGATTTTTTACTCTAAAAATGGGAAATGCCGATTGGCCGATTTTTGCTTCAAAAATTAAGATTTTTATTCAATATGTAATACTAAAGCCTTCAAGGCCAATAAATAGTATATATAGGCCATGGTGCAATAAAATGGTAAATGGTAATGGTACTACGATAACCGATTCTCCCCTTATGATATCGGAGAAAATTGCAAAACCAGTAGATTCTTGCAGGTTCTGGAACAGGCCAATTATTTCAAAAATAATTAACAGAAATTCATAATTACTTAACCATATGGAGCTACTTTTTAGAAGAAACTTTATAAGAGATACTATTCTGACTTTATGGACATCAAATATTTTTGAGAATATGATGAAGTATATTTCATATTATATACAAAAGATATTTGCTCAGTTTTGCCATTTTCTTTGATATTATAAAAAGGTAAAAGCTTTTACATTCTTGCAGTTCTGGAACAGACCAATTGTTGCCTAATTAAAACTACACAAAACAAATTAAAAAGCATCACTCGGATTTACCGACAGATGTATACCCTCAGCTTATGTCCGTTTTTTTAAACATATTTTGGTATGCGTTATTATTCACCCTTTATGTATCGGATGTACCGAAGTAGTGGGCCAATATTGTCCACTTCGCATCTGATCTAAATCTCATTTAAGTATTGCGACATATCAGGTTTGGACTGTACTGACTATTTCCTTTACTGTACAAAATATATGTGAAAATGCTGAACTTTTGTGGCGTGTATGTAGTTCTTTTTGTTCAGTGACCTCCACAGCTGTTTTTTCGGCGAAAATTTGGCTTCGTCCGTTTTCAATCGTTGTTTTTGTTTGATATTTCTTTTTATCACATATTCCGGCTTTGGCATTTGTTTCTTATATTACGGCGGTGCATTTTTTAATGGAGCTTTGTAATGTGGTAGTGATTCTGCAGTTTCCAAGACAAAGTGTGAATTTGCGAATTTGAAAGTGTTTTTAGAGGTAATTTGTCAGCACAAATAATACCATAAGTTAATACAACGTAACCAAAAAGAAACGAAAATGAGTATTACTTCGGCGGCTGGAATAATATCGCTGCTCGATGAGCCGATGCCAGATTTGAAAGTTTTTGCTCTGAAAAAGCTGGATCATATTGTTGATGAGTTTTGGCCAGAAATATCCGAATCAATTGAGAAAATTGAAATGTTGCACGAGGATCGGACTTTTCCGGAAAATAAATTGGCTGGAATGGTAGCGTCAAAGGTCTTCTATCATTTGGGCTCTTTCGAAGACGCCCTCACCTACGCATTGGGTGCGGGAGATTTATTTGATGTTAACGCTAGGAATGAATATACCGAAACTATTATTGCAAAATGCATAGACTTTTATATAGCCCAGCGGGTGGCATTTATTGAAAATCCAAAGGAAGCTAAGCCAGTCGATGTCCGTTTGGAGGCGATTGTAAATCGTATGATTCAGCGGTGCCTAGATGATGGCCAATATCGGCAAGCGTTGGGTATTGCTCTGGAAACTAGGCGTATGGATATTTTTGAATCAGCTATAATGAAGTCGGATGACGTTAGCGGTATGCTGGCATACGCTTATAATGTCACCATGTCATTGATTCAGAATCGTGGTTTTCGTCATGAGGTGCTTCGTTGCCTGGTAGGACTCTATCGCGACTTAGGAGTTCCAGATTACGTCAATATGTGTCAGTGTTTAATATTCTTGGAAGATCCATTGGCCGTCGCCGAGGTTCTAGACAAGCTGACAAGGTCTTCCAAGGAAGCGAACAACTTGATGGCTTATCAAATCGCTTTTGATTTATACGAATCTGCTACCCAGGAGTTCTTAGGAAACGTCCTGCAGGCTCTTAAGGAAACCGCGCCCATTCCCACTGCCTTGCCTAGTATATTCAAACCGCAGGGTACCAATCCTACAACCAAGAGCGAAGAAGAGACTTCTAAAGAAGAATCTAAAACTGATGAAACAGGTATGAATAAACCAATATTTATAGGCGCTGACTGAAATGTTTTCTTTTTTAGATATCAAGGCGGAGCGCACTGTAGAATCTCTTAATGACTCGGAGAAGGCACATCAAAGGAATATTGAAAAATTAATATCAATTCTTTCGGGAGAAGTGACAATTGATTTGCAATTGCAATTCCTCATCCGTAGTAACCATGCAGACCTGCAGATTTTACGAGCAACAAAAGAGGCAGTCCGTGTTTCTATTTGCCATACAGCCACTGTGATTGCCAATGGCTTTATGCATGGCGGAACCACATCGGATCAATTTTTACGAGACAACTTGGATTGGTTGGCACGAGCCACTAATTGGGCAAAACTGACAGCAACAGCTTCCCTGGGCGTCATACACCGGGGACATGAAAAGGATTCGCTGGCTCTTATGCAAAGTTATTTGCCCAAAGAGGCCGGCCCCAGCTCTGGATACTCTGAAGGAGGTGGCCTTTATGCGTTAGGTTTGATCCATGCAAATCATGGCGCTAACATAATAGATTATTTGCTGCAACAACTGAAGGATGCCCAGAATGAAAATGTCCGTCATGGAGGTTGTTTGGGTCTTGGTTTAGCTGCAATGGGCACTCACCGCCAGGACTTGTACGAACAGCTTAAGTTCAATTTATACCAAGACGATGCAGTTACAGGAGAAGCTGCAGGTATAGCAATGGGTATGGTCATGTTGGGCTCTAAAAATCCACAAGCTATAGAAGATATGGTGTCATATGCCCAAGAAACGCAACATGAGAAAATTTTGCGTGGACTCGCTGTCGGGATTTCCCTTACAATGTTCTCTAGACTAGAGGAGGCTGATCCATTGATACTTTCTCTATCTACAGACAAGGACCCAGTTTTAAGACGTTCAGGCATGTACACAATAGCCATGGCCTATAACGGTACTGGAAGCAATAAAGCCATTCGAAAATTGTTGCATGTTGCAGTTTCGGACGTAAATGACGATGTCCGTCGTGCTGCTGTCACAGCCATTGGATTTATATTGTTCCGTACGCCAGAACAGTGTCCGTCAGTCGTTAGTCTTTTAGCCGAATCATACAATCCTCATGTTCGATATGGTGCTGCCATGGCACTGGGGATTGCTTGTGCAGGCACAGGCCTAAGGGATGCTATTGCATTGTTGGAGCCAATGGCTCGTTTGGATCCGGTCAATTTTGTTCGTCAGGGTGCATTAATCGCTTCAGCAATGATATTAATACAACACACTGACCAAACATGCCCCAAAACAACATTTTTCCGTTCGCTGTACGATGAGGTCATTTGTAACAAACATGAAGATGTTATGGCCAAGTTTGGTGCTATTCTGGCGCAAGGTATAATCGACGCTGGAGGCCGAAATTGCACTATATCATTGCAGTCGCGAACTGGTCACACAAACTTGCAGGCTGTTGTTGGTACATTGGTATTTACACAATACTGGTATTGGTTTCCATTGGCACATGCCCTTTCACTAGCATTTACACCAACTTGCGTAATTGGTTTAAATTCCGACTTAAAAATGCCTCAAATGAAATTTAAATCGGCAGCAAGACCCTCCATTTATGCATACCCTGCTCCTTTAGAAGAAAAGAAATCGGAGGAACGCGAAAAGGTTGCTACAGCTGTTCTTTCAATTGCAGCTCGTCAAAAACGTCGTGAGACTGCAGATAAAAAGGAAGATGACAAAATGGATGTTGACCAAGAAGAAAATAAGGAGTCTGCAACCACTTCCAAGAAAGAAGAAGATGTAAAATCTGATGAGAAAAACAAAGTGGATGATAAAAAGAAAAACGCGGACGCATCCAAAAAAGAAGATGAGAAAGATAAAGACTCGTCTGCTTCCGACAAGGACAAGGATAAGGACAAAAAAGATGACAAAGAACCAAAATTCGAAATTCTTGAAAATCCTGCACGCGTTATGAGACAGCAGCTAAAAGTTTTAAGTGTTGCCGAGAATCAGTCGTATGTTCCTCTTAAAGATGTAACTATTGGTGGAATTATAGTGATGCAGCACACCGGCAAGGCAAAGGAACAGAAACTTGTGGAACCCGTCGCAGCATATGGCCCTAAAAATGACGACGTCAAGGAACCCGAACCTCCAGAGCCATTTGAATACATAGAAGATTAAACAGTTTTGCAAAAAATACCGATTTCATTTTAATTGATTTCTTTAACATAAACACATTAGTCCAACGCTCTTAGCAGTTGCATTGTCACAATATTATAATCAATATATCACTAATAAAATCTTAAGCCACGCAGTGTTTTATTTCCAGTAAATGAGCGCAACCTTGTTCAGTTCTTAAATCAAGTGTGCAACTAAAATTATAATTTCGCTCAATTGCAAAGGTTTACAATTTGGCATAACTTGCACTTTTCAATATTTATGACAATAAATATCAATTGTGAAAATGACATTTACTTGCGGTCCAAATCCCATTTTGCTTATGGCAGGATTAACTGATTCGTTAACGACTGCAGTCATAGATCACGGCTTCAACATGTGTCTTCAAATTGTGTTTTATACAATATTTAACCTTTAATAAGTGGTGTTCCTTAAAGTTCGTCTCGTCTAGTTATTAGCCTGTACGTGTTTCTGCAGTCGGTTATTTACTTTGCTACTCATAAGACCAAAGTGCAATTTATTTTCCCTTTGTTTGCCTAAAAAGTCCAATTTGTAGCAAGGTGCCTCCGCTTTGTGATCACTTCTCTCAGCAATGTATATAAATTAAATTTCTAGTTCCATTTCTGCTCAAATTTGAGATGCAGGTAGATGCATCAACGCTTGAGATCATTGATACGCCAAAAAAATTTAAATGTTCTTTCAAATATAAGTAGTTTCTTAAACGTTTTCGTATACGACATCATTTGAGGGTTATTATAATTCGCGTTTCTCAACAATTTTAAAAAATTTTATAATTTAAATAATTTTTCATTCAACATTTTCAATTCCAAAATTGGTTTGACAGTTCATTTTCCCAGCAGCTGTGTCGATGCGTCTACCTATATTCTTCTACCATGGGATAAACCCTAACATGCCACTCATGTTTTGTGGTATCCCCATAGACACACAATAAGACTAATACAGCGTTGCATCTTCGGTAGTTTGGTTAAAGCTCAAAGACATTGCTGGTTCGCCAAAGAAAATTCAATGTCGATCGAAATTTAAGAATTTAATCTCCATATAGGTATATCAAAGTCAATTGACACTGATCCGAATTAACCGCTTAAAACTTCACAATTGAAGGTATTCAATTTCAATATATTCAACTTTTATTTATACAGAATAATATAATTCAGTTACATTTATCTACTCATAAAAATTTAATCCAGATACTTAATTATTTCACAATAGATAAACGTACTTTTGTAACTTGAAAAAAACCAAACAGACCTTATATAAAGTAGAGAAAAACAGACTGTTTTTACATTAGCAATCCATATTACGAACAGAATAAAAAAGGGCTTAACATTAGTCCGAGTCTGAATCGCTACTCGAAGCAACACCAGATCCTTTACTAAGCGTGGGTTGATTGGCATTAGGTGGATCGTAATAGTGTAATTGTTTGCGCCATATTTTTACCAGTCCATCAAAGGCTCTACGGCTATATTTACCGTATTTGTTAGGAGTGCGAGGATGATCACGGGTACGTTGTGCTTTGGGGACCATTTCAGTATATCGTTCGTATGCTACGGTATTTTTTCCATAATCAATTTGTTTTTGGCGTCGTGTGAGTACGGCAGCATCAGTCTCTGTATATGAAGACGATGAAGAAGACGACGATGTAAAACTATTCTGCCTAGCGCGTTTTTCATTCTTGTGACTATTAAAATACCGAGCTTGCTCTCCGTCATTGCTAGTGTTGCTGCCACAACTGCTATTGGGACTGTTGGATCGTGTCTCAATACTCGGCGTCTCCGAATGACGCCTTTTGAATGGTGTTTTCAGCTTCTCCTCTTTTAAAAGACGCTCAAATTTTTGTTCATTAACATTATCGATAAATTCCAAGGATATGTCCCTCCGAGATTCGCCATCAGTTAAACTGTTGTTGAAAGAACACTGAGACTGGAAAATAAATAAATCTTTTGGTGAGACCCGACATGTTACCGCGTATACTACTTACGTGAGAGTCAGCTTCATCTGCCCAAGAACGACTGCCTGAGCCAGCATCTTTTTTTTCGATAGACATAATTGTAGAGGTCTCGCAAACCATCATATCTTGACTCAAATTTTCGCGTTTAACTAGAGAAACAAGATTCTCGTAACAATATTCAACAGACTTTAAATGCTTTCAACCTTCCCTTTCCGCAGCAAATTCACATCTGAAAAAACAAACCAAATGTTTGCCTCAAAAAATTCGCGCTTTTTTATCTCGTTTTGTTTACTATTGGCGATAGAGATGCCCAAATATTGAATACCAAATACCAGTTATTCTTTTGGGATGTTCTACTGCCGTTTATACAAATCGTAAAGTGGACGTATGCGATAAGTATCGTAGGTGATTTAGGATGTGATATATGACATTGCATGCATGGTAGAAGAATACAGGTAGATGCACCAACGCTTTAGAACATTGATATTATTGTCCCATCAGCTTTGTCGATGGGTCTGCCTGACGGCATGGTAGAAGAATATGGGTAGATCCATGGTACAATGAAGAGAAGGTAGGTCAACTTTGAAAAAATTGCTAGTATAGAGGTCTACCTGTTTGGCTTGTAATGTCAAAATTAAAAATCTATATGTTTCCTTATACGACACAAATAGTGACTTGTTATGGTATGCATTTTTTTAAACAATTTTTACAAATGTCATTAATTTTTCATTCAAAATTGGTTTGACACTTCATTGTCCCAGCAGATGTGCCGATGCGACTACTTGTTTTCTTCTATCAAGATGTTTTCTTCTACAAACCCAGTAGATAATAGTTATTTCGGGAACAGCGCTTTCCTAACAATTACTGTTTATCATCCTTAATTGTTGAATACATAGTTCAATCTTTCAATTTCATTGCTAAACTGGTTGATAGCTTTAATGTAGTTTTGAAAATATTTAGTTTTTATTTTTCAAAACAATAAACACATACAAAAAATTGCCAGAATTCGGGCACACTTAGGAAAACAATTGTAATCAGCTGGTAGCTCGACCTTACCTTTTTATTGTACCATGTTTAATTGTGCCAAAGACATAAAACTATAAAGCAAAGGCATATATGTCTTTGGTCCCATCTTATTATATTATATGTCTTTGATTGTGCCATGATAGCCCCAGTTTCAAAATTGACAGAACTTTTTTGTATGTTGTGTGCGCAAATGGAAAGACTATTTTTTCTTTTTAAAATAAACACGCCTATTGCACAAAGCCGTTGCAGTTAGATATTTTGTTAGCTTTGTACTCTGATGACCTTGTTTTTTGCAAAGGTCATATCCCAATTCATGGTAGGACTTAGCAGTACATTATTCCTATCTCATATTTCAGTCAGAGGTAATATCGGTGCTGCCTGTCGAAGATTATTCACTGCGAAAATGGCTGGAAAATATAAAATTGTTATGGTCAGACATGGAGAGTCGGAGTGGAATTTGAAGAATCAATTTTGTGGATGGTTTGATTCAGATTTGAGTGAAAATGGTAAGATTTGCAATAGTTATGAAATGAATGCAGCATGACATCCTACTGCATGCAATATCAATATCTCGAAGTGGGCTTAACATTATTGTATGTGAGCGATATTTGAAGAATACATACATTCCATCTGATTATTTTAATAATATTTTTTAACATATATCTAGTCATAGGCAGCTGCATCCAAAACTAATCATTTTCCTTAATAAACTTAGCAATTGTTAGAGAATATGTGTATATTGAATGTGATCACACTCATGATTCTAGGTAAAAAGGAAGCAGAAGCTGCTGGGGAAGCTGTAAAAGCCGCGGGACTAAAGTTTGATGTTGCTCATACATCGGTTCTCAAGCGAGCCCAAATAACCCTCAATACCATTCTCACTAAAAGTGGTCAAAGTGATATTCCCGTGTTTAAGACTTGGCGTCTTAACGAACGCCATTATGGCGGTTTGACTGGTCTAAATAAGGCGGAAACTGCAGCAAAATATGGAGAAGAGCAAGTAAAAATCTGGCGTCGTAGCTTTGACACTCCCCCACCACCAATGGAACCTGGACACCCATACTACGATGCCATTGTCAATGATCCTCGCTATGCTAACGAACCTAAAAAAGATGAGTTCCCTATGTTTGAGTCATTGAAACTTACCATTGAACGTACATTACCCTATTGGAATGATGTCATTATTCCTCAGCTCAAGGAGGGCAAAACTGTAATGATTGCTGCCCATGGTAACAGTTTGCGTGGTATAGTCAAACACTTGGACAGTAAGTACTTTACTGTATTTTAGAACGTTCGATGGGTAATACATTTTTTACCGCAGATATGTCCGAAGATGCTATTATGGGATTAAATTTGCCTACCGGCATTCCATTTGTTTACGAACTGGATGAGAACTTTAAACCCGTAGTATCCATGAAATTCCTGGGAGATGAAGAGACAGTAAAGAAGGCTATCGAGGCAGTTGCAGCACAGGGTAAAGCTAAGTAAACTCGGCATTTAGTTGTAACTAACTGAATATATGCTCAGTGTTTGTGGAATGTAAGCACTGAGCATTGCATATTCTATTAATTGGAATTCATAAGAAAATTCGATGAAAACTCGAACTCTATTGTACCTCTGGTATAGGTAAATTCAAATATATATGTATACAGTGTTCAACATGTAGATTGTATTTAAATTATTAAAAAAAATTAAATAAAATATACACTTTAGTTTTATTTGTAATGTTGGTATTGTTCGTTTAAGTTACTAAGTCAATCACCATGGGTTAAATGCTTCCATGGTCGACATGTCCCAGTAGTCGGTATTTTACGTTTTTTTTCCAGAACAAGGCAAACATAGCCAAATTCACGCATTTCATATCAAAACAATGTCAATCAAAATCGGTTTAAATGAGTCTATTTTAGCTTGACTAAACTGAAAATTTCGGTGGAAAGGGCTAAATATGACATTTTGGAGTTATTTCTTGGTCGACCTTATATGGGCCTTGATAAGGCATTTACCAAAATGCTTGACAGCGTTACCTCAAATTCGACGTAACACATACAAATATTCAACTTCCCACTATGGTAAAATATTTTGTATGTTGTATTACCCAAATACGCCAGGTCCATATCTTAAAATCTTCTAACTAATAACGTTGTAAATGTGGATAATTTCTAAAATATAAAAATACGAGAAAATCAAGTGAAAAACGAAGACATGTGTTTTCAAAATTTCTTGGTCAATAAGCATAAAAAGACAAAACTAACTTTCCCTTGCAGCATGTTGAGGAATCAATCCGTCCAAATGTTAATTCTTCGTTTCGCGCCATTAGTTATGATGAAATTGTTAAAGACTTTAAAAAAATGGAAGTGGAAGCTTAAATTTATGCCTTCTCTTGTTGCCCATTTTGTGCTGCATATTGTTAATACTGTGTTGGCAGTGTCCGTGTTTTCTGTTATTTAAATGCATGGGTTTCCTGCATTAATCTGTTTTTGTACGAAATAAATTTTCATAGCTAATTAGAAATATATGTTTGTATGCACAACGGGGCCACCAGAAATGAGAATTTGATTTGACGCCACAAGTGAATAATGCATCACATCACAGCGCGGATGTTCGATCTGTCCTTCGAAGGACACCAACAAAACTTTTTCCGTCCCACCCATCAAAATACACATTGTTGAAAAATAAATCATTCACAACACCCCTTAGACTGTATAGTTTTACCAGTTGTTGCTACAAATCTAGCAAGACTTAAGAAACTGCTAAAAATATATACATAGTATTTATCAGAAAAAAGAAATTAAAACAGAAAACGTTGCATCGACTTTGACACTAATATTTAAATCAATTTGGATGTTGCTGCTATCTTTAGTAATTGTAGAATTTCTTGTGCCAATGCATTTGATCAGATATGGACATTGCGTATTAGTGTATACGACCGTATAAATCATTTTAACATAGTGTGAAGGATAATATTAGGTATATCTGTTAAGAAATTACTGGTTCAATCTAGATTTAGAAGATGTTTAAAGAAAATTGGGGAATCATCTCAATTTTTTGTAGCATAGACACCAGAGGAGAAAATTAGAGGCTCTGACTTATATTCATTTTCGTAGCCGGTGTTGGACATACACAGATTTGAATTTGTGTTACCGTTGGGAATATATGTGTTCCGGTCATTTGTGAACATATTTTTGGAAGAAATCCATGTATTTCATTTTAAAAATTAGGAAAAGTATATAACATAAATGAGAACACCATTAAATTATGCGGACAAATTGTTTGTCTCAAATACCCTTGTAACGGGAATTTGGGAAACCGATTTCTTTTAACCCATCAAAGGTAAAGTTTCAACTATATCTGAGCGACTCAATGAATACACATTGTACAAAATTAAATAACCCAATATTTTGAAATGATGATGCTCGCCCACATTACTAAACTCAGTAAGTATTATCAAGTTATCAAAACTGACCCATTGTTAAAGCACGGGGGGAAATTTAGCAAGAAACAATATAAACACACACTTCTTTTATTCCATTCAAAGAACTAAAATGAATTTACTTTATGTAAGATATTGTAGAGACTTATCTCACATTTGGTTCCTTACGTTTGCATTGAATCCGTACATACAATATATACATATGTATACTTATCGTTTACCACCCTCTTACAATTGCACAGGAAATACAATAGGTTGACTTGTACACCCAGCTACTGATACTAGTGAACTACTGTGGTCGAACAAAGAAATGCGCATGTACTCGTTTATACAAGCAGTTACATACAACGTTTTTTCATTTCAGATGTTTCATGAATGTATTTTCGTTTGGGATATGTATGTTATTATTATGTGGCTTCTTAGGCTTAATATATGAAATAGACAAAACATCAATATTTTATAAATTATATTCGTAATACATTTATTATTATTATTATTTGTTATCGTTTAAAATTATAGTTATGATTTCGTACTTCTCTATTTTAGGTCTGTCCAGCAAGAATAAAGCGTAGTTTTCGAGTACACATTCTTCTATGTTTGTATGTTCGTATGACAGTGTGAGAGTGGCAGTGTTGTGCAGGTACGACAATGCAACAAGCATCGTTAACCTACATCAGAAGTTGAGCATGATGAGATGAGTTGTGGTTTACTTTCACTGCAAGATTCATTTGTTAGTTGTGTTAATTGGAAATCCAAGTTGGCTTCTTGTTGGACAGACACGATCGAAAATTACATTGTTAAATGATATATGTATAAATGGTGGAAAATGTATATAGCATTTTCGTTAAAAAATGAGAAAATATACAACAAAAAAGAACTTGACATCGATTAATACTTAAATATGTTTTGAATATCAATATGTTGTTGGTTTTTGTTTTTGTTTTTATTGAGCCCAAATTGGGAGTTACAATTTGAATTTGCTTTTTAAGATTGACTTTTATTACTTGGTATCTTCCAATACGTTTTCTTTGCTTATTAAAAAAATGTTGAACACCAATTAGTTTTATATTTTACTTTGCTTAATTGTTAATGATTACATATTACAAAATATAGTAGCTTTCACTTTGCATGGTCAGAGCTATTACTCGGCTGACATGATGTTGTGGACTTGTTCTAGTTTATAGGCAAGACGCTGCTTTTGCGAAAACTCGTCCTCCTCCAATGTGACTGCCAGTTGCTCATTGTATTTGACCACGTAGGTGTAGAGTTCGTGGAGAGCACAGTTTGTGTTGAATTCGGATGTGTGAAGTCGCGACTCCTCAGCCAACATGGCATTCATGTCCTGATCGGAGATTGGTGGCATCTCTCGGATGTCGTGATAGTAGCGATCAACCCATTTGCGGTATTCTGGTATGTCTTTTGCGTAGAGCAGTTTTGAACTGGGCGAATCCTTGCCTAGCCTGTGATCGGATGTGGAGCATGAGTCCATGAATGTTTGTGCGACAACGGAGAGGCAGGAATCGACGATATTCGATTTGTGGATGTCAAAGACGAAGTTAGGATTCTTAATGAGATTCACCCAGAAACGTAGTGGCAAGCTATTGCTTTTCCAAGTGTGCACAACCTCGGGATCAGTGATGCCATGCAACAGGGCCTGGTCATCAAGAAAATCAAACATGTACTTAATAGCTAATGGCAAAGCCGAACCACGGTGGGCTGTGCTGAAAATTGTCTCGAATAGATCGTCGACGAATTTTTGCAATGTGCCTTTCGTTGCTAGAAGGCGTGTCAAATATATTTCCGAGACGAGCTTATTGACCCGTTCTCCCTCTTTCTGGACATCGTTGTCGTGATGCTTGACCAGATGCCAGTATTTGATACCGTTTTCATGGATGTCATTATTAAGGGGACTACCAGCTCTGCTGAATGTTGGCGAAGATGATGTGAATTTGGAAAGATTTAATGTCTCGTATTTATGTGATTTTTCGTTTTTGTCGGACAAAATGGAAAAGTTATAAATTGAACTTTGTTTGGGAACCAAGCTCAGGGCTGCGCCGTCCGGAACGTTATAATGTTGCAGCGTGTTCAGCTTCTTCCACTCGTTCTCAGTCTTTGAGGTTGTGTCTTCGTCATACAAAATAACTCGGCCAGTTGCACCTGTTCGCCATTCAAGGTCCAAATCATCTTTTCTGGGTTTTTGACTAGCCGGTATATTGCGATAAATAGTGTCCAAGCACTTCTCTTTAACTTGTCCTATAGTATCGCAATCTAAAACTTTGACTGGCACATTCTCAGTGTGTGTTGGTAGCATCTCCACATTGTTACAAAATATTGGCTGTTGTATTATGCTGGCATAAACTGTCATGGGTCTGAAATCAATGAGCTGTCGAATGAGTTTCTCTTCACTCAATGAGTAGCGAGCTTCATATGTACAGGCGTCCACTGGACCCTTGTCTACTTGGCCTTTTACCGCACGGAAAAGCATGTATAGAGGTTCACCAGCACACTCCTTTAGAAATTTATATAGGAGGAAGGTGAACCATGCACTCAACATTTTTTCGGCGACACTTTCCGTTCTTCGTAGTAGCAGTTTGGGATGGCTCTTTCCTTCAATGCATTTCTCAATCAGATCACTCAACAGTGTTTTCAAAATGTCTGTGCAGTATTCCAGCTTTGATTGCAATGTTACCATAATTAGAGAGGCAACATTGACTCGCTCTCTCATCGAGAAGTAGCGATTTGATTCAAGGGTTCGAATAAATAAAAGTAGAAAAGTTTTATTCATGATTAGCTTACCGAATAGCCGCAAGCCATTTTCCTTGCGCAACAACTCGGGTCGTTCCCATTGGAGTACAATGTGGTCTTCATGATTCGGAAACAATATTTTCATTGCATAAGTGCAGTAGTCGAGGAATGGAATACCACCTGAAGTAAGGTCTCCGGTAAGATCTGTCATTTCTGTTTGTAATTCAGCAAAGGCTTCTTTGCATTCAGCGGCCACCCGCAACTCCAAAATATCCATTTGTTCTTGCATGTTTCTAAGCACTCTATTTGATTCCGATGTTTTCTTCTTGTATGCCACCAATAGTGCGACGAATATCAAGAGCAATAGTATAACACCCGAAACAACGACCACAAAAGCATTTTTGCCCAAATCGTCCATGATATTCGGCGAGGCATAGCTCAATACCCCGATTCTGTACTCCAACGAACGTCCAATGCGCACAACAACCTCAGGCCCAGAGCTGTCCTTGCTTTCTGGACCACTGTCGTCATCCGTATCGTAGTTGTCTCCCCCGAAGGGCTCCAATGGAGGACGACACGTCAGTTGTTGTCGCGACAACGACGTAATATTGCACAACTTTTTGCCAATGAATACTTTCACATCGCTTTCGCTACATGCCCGATCCAAATGGCGTCCGTTGATAGTTAAATATTCGCTCTTGTAGTACTTGACGCGTTCTTCAAAGTTGTAATAAACGGGATTCGGGTACAATTCGTAATAATTTTGATGTTTGGCCGAAAGATTTTGCACTTGCAATACATGGTCCATTAGGAATCCGTATTCCAACTTTTGCGGATTCTCGGCCTCTAACATGTCGTCAGCGCTAGTTTCCACCGTTGGTGAATCGCAAATCATTTCAGTTGATGATTTAACTTGACACTGGCTGAGGAACGTTTTGTTCTTATAAATGACATACATGCTAGGTGCCTGTATAAAGTTGAAATGCGTACCAATCACAGTTATTTCTGTGCCGCCTGCTGGTATCCCTTTGGGGACTTTTATTTGGCCGCCTGGGGTTCCGGAGTATACCTGTTCAACGGTGGGATCAAGTACATATTTAAAGTTGTACTCGTTAAATTCTCTTGGGCCGTTATCAAATACCATCTTCAGACGCCCCTCGATGATACCCGGCGACGAGGACGTGCTGCAAATTGCCTGATTTTCATCTACACTGAGAATCTCGCATGGCAAGTGATCATTTATGAAAGCTTGAATTCGTGAACCGGAATTTAAATACTTTCCAATTATTCGTATCTGAGTTCCACCGGAAACGGGTCCATGTCTGGGGCTGAAGGATGATATCTTGGGGTCAACAAATTCATAGTCCTCTTTTGACTCTCCCCGATAATCGCCAATTTGTACAACAATGCGGCCACTACGGTACATTTGTTCCCCGGGACTGTCCACTATACAAACAATTTCCTTGGTATCCACGTAGAACTTTTCAAAGGGCGAACAATTTATTCCTGCAATGCGTACTCCCGAGTAAATGTCGGAGAACTTTTTACCCAAGTTGATGCCGCGTATCGTTATGTTGGTACCGCCCTCCCAGGGTCCTGTTTTTGGTGAAAAATAATGTATTTCCGGATTGGGACATGTTTCCATTCGATTCAACCAGTCGGTTTTGCCTTCATTATTATTCTTGTTGCACTGCTCTTCGACCTCGCATGTGTTCGTGGACGAACACCAACCGCAGTTGTATTTTTGTGCCAGCGCTAGGCACATGCCACAACTGTCGGCCATATCACGACAACGATATATGACCACGTGTATATCATGTGGGTTGTCCAGGGGCTTCGAACCTCCCCAGATAACAGCAAATGTCGCCGTCAAATTGGGCGAACGAGATGTATATTGGAATTCCATGCTATCACAGTAGATTGTATCGCCTAATAGCTGGGCATTTAGACTAGTGACGCGTCCTTCAATGTTGAATTGACACACAAATCGAGTTTGTACTATGAATTGCCCGATTATATGAACCTTAACTTTAATGGACTTGCTGGTGCCTGCGGCCACAAGAATCTCACTCCCATCGCCCGTAGCATTTATAGTCGGACAAAACCCTGGTCCAGATCGATAACTGGGACCAATACGACTGACGCCAGTTACAAGGATATCATTGCGACAGTTTTCTGCTGTATCATGTGTGCAACGATGGGCTTCGACGCACCAGTCACAAGGGAATTCTGAAGATACGCAGCGAGTACACGACGAGTGAGTACTACAGTCGAAGAATGTAAAATCGGTTGATACCAAATCGGGGCCATTGCGAGTGCGCACAGACAATTTCGCAGTAAAGTGGTGTTTTCCTTGTCCAATCTGTGGCAACATATCTGTCCGTGGAGTAGTGCAGTTCACACCATTTCTCTTCTTTGTCGCATTCGTAAATAGCGCCTTTTCTTCTGTCGTAAAAGCACACACCAAGTTTTCTTTTAGCTGTGGCAAGTGGTCAATGATCAGTTCCAAAGTTCGAGCTGTTGTTCGTTGCAATTGATGAGGCATTACACTAGTTATGGTCGTACACTTTCCCGTCTTGTAGTTTATCCAGTACAGGGGATCGTTGACATCGTCCTGGCAAGTTGATCGTGATGAGCACTTGTTTTCCAAAGAACACCAACCGCAGTAGGGATCATGTGCTCCCAAACATTCACCACATGTTTTGTAGCCACTGCAATCGTAAACCTTAACTTTGGCGACCTGCGACCTTGACATAACATACAAATGCATGTTCTGATTGTCAAAAAGCATGTCTTTGAGAATTGGCGAACCTACGGAAATTGGTATCTCGGCATATTCATTTGCTACCGTGCTCGATTCAACAACGATTTTCTTCAAATATCCGTTGCCAGTTCCAATGAAGACAACCGTATAGCCGCTGGAGCTGGTCGCAGCAATTGATGTAAGATAATCTTTAAACTTCAGAACAGCGACTGCAGTAATCGGTTGATCACCACCAAGTGGAGAGTTGACGTCCAAACCGCAAAAGTCTTCGCCAATAGTTTGCAGTTTTGTTGGCACACATCGCATATCGGGGGATATGAAGTCGAGGCCTCTGAATCCATTACCATTGAAGCACGATTTAATATTCTGCATAAACTTTTGTCTTATTGATTTTAATGAATATATGCAAAGCGCCGAGTTGTCAGTTGATTGGTTACCACGGCCCTCGGAAAATACAGCATAAAGGACGTCGTCTTGTGGTGTCACAGAAAGACTCTCAGCCAAGTCCGCACTTGGCTTGTCCAAGTAGGCGGCTTGTACCAAATTGTACTTGGTGCCGCTGGAACACTCAACTGGTATCTCAGTGTAAGAGTAGTAATTTGAATCCTCTTGACAAATTCGGACAAGTTTGGTAATGTATTCCTTTGGATACACGTGATGATTGCGCTTCAGTTGCGTTGTTAGGAAATAAGAAAACTTCTCAGAACTAAAGCCATAGACATACGTGACCAAATATCCTTCGCGGGCATACGAGTTGATGAATGTTCGTGTTCCCGTTGTTACCGCCGCCGAAGCTATTTGAAACATATTTTTCTTCTCCAACGAACGTGAAGCTACTGCCGGTATTTCACTCCGATAGGGCGAGTTATTTGTATAAGTAACTCCTACATACATTACATTCGTTAGGGGGTGCTGTGGGGGCCCAGGCGCGATAAATGCAACTGTCGAAGAATTAGCATCGTTCGCCACAACTGCGTCTTGAACTTCCTGCTCTATAATCGACACATTCTGTAGGTTATGTACTGTGCAATTTCCTTGGAACAAGCTTCCGCATACGATCAGGCGTGAAGTTGCGCGGTCAATTAGCAGGACCTTGTTATAGTTATCGGTGGGCTTACGTTTCGCATGCGCAGGACAATCTAATATCGAACACTCAACCGAATCGTTTTTGGGGCCGGTCTTTACACTCTCGTGTATCTCCAAATCGGGCGATAATTGATATAGGTTATTTACACCACCCACATAAACGCGCCCCGTCACCGTGTCCACAACCAAGTGGTTTAATTGGGTGTCAAAGTGAACCTTCTTAGTAATAAAGTTGTTCACAGTTTTATTGCTGCTTTCCGCACCTGAGTGTAAGTCACTCGGCGCTGATGACGAGTCACCATTGTTATTTGTTTTATTTTCTAAATTAAACGACAGTGACTGATTGGACGAAGAGGGACTCGATGTATTGTTTGGATCTTCGTATGTCAACGCTGCAGACTCAAAGCCCTTATATGCAGCGCTGCTGAACAGTTCGATAATGCTGCTGCTCGCCCCCACTGAAGCTGGAGATTGTGGCAGTGACTTTGATTTTCCTACTGTGGAGCTCACTACTTCATTATACGTTTCTATGCTGGTGGTGACATGATGTGCAAGCAATGCCAATATTACAATGATGCGACAGGATAAATAAGCAAACTTCATGTTTCAAGCAACAGACTGAATTTTCAGTCGCATAAATTACTTGGATTTACGTTTATGGCTGATGCGGTGCACACTTAGTTTAGACAATTAATGATTTGAGTATTGTATTGTTGTGTTGATATGAATAATTCGTTTCACGGTTTTGTCAAAAAATTCAATGAAGATGTGAAAATCTGCTCGCGAAAAAGGACACCATTAAAATCTGTACGTGTGTATGTATTTACTGTAACTGTCTTACCCATATCTATCGTTGTCGCATTTTATCTATATGGGTTTATTTTTTCGTTTCGTTTGGCTCAATGATACTTTTGCATTATAAATTTATTGTTTGTAACTAACAAGAGTCGCTTAGTCTAGCATAAATGTTGTTTCATTTGCAGTTTAATACTTTTTTTAAGATAATTTAAAATTTTCTGTATTTCTTGTTCTCTGTAGGCAAAATAGGGTGTTAACTAGGGATACGTAAACTGACTATAGTCTAATCGTTGTTAGAGCTGCTAAGCAATCGATAAAAATCTAGTAATCGATTTGTATGATTTAAGAAAAATAATAATCACTTTCACAAGAACAATAACTGTGTTCTTTGTTGTGGCGTTATCTGGAAATTGGCCAAGTTTCAACTTTCTAAAACCAAAAAAAAAAAAAAAAAAAAAAAATAACTGTGTTCGATTGCGTGTAAGGGTGCAAGTACATAAAAGGCTTGAAGTCAAGGCTAGGCATATTAATGTCAAGTTATAATGGATAATGACGGCAGGATTTTAGTGCGGCTCTGTACTCCCTTTATGAAATGTTACAAAATATGCCTAGCCATGACTTCAAGCTTCTTATGTACTTAGCCCTTAAGAATCAAGGCCTATCATCATTGGCATTTAATAACGGCGTACCGCTCACACGAAATATCAAAACTTGTATTTTTGTTTTCAATCGTTTTCAGCGCCAGAAGTACACAAATAATACGATTGATTTAAAGTACTTCGACACATTTTTTGATTGAATGATGCACATAATAAATGGATAAAAAGTTATGAATTTGACTTTAAATTAGTTTTTACTTAATTCATAATGAGTTCATATACAGGCAAACACATGGTAAAAGAATGGGACAATGAATTGTCAAACAAATTTTGCAAATGATATTTTTGAATGAAAACTTGTTCAAATTTGTAAAAATTGTAAAAAAATACATATCATAACAACCTCCGATTGCCGTCGTGTAAGGAAACATGTACAAATCTACTTATTTTTGAAGAAACATTTAAAAAATGTTGATATATCAATGTTTCCAAGCGTTTATGTAGCTACCTGTATTCTTCTACCATGGGCAAACGTTTGCAATGAGGTTTGCACTGTTTTGTTTCCAATGTTGCATCATGCAGCAGAGTAAATTTCAGTTTTATTTTCGTTTCCACTCATCGCAAACTGACCACAATAAAAAAACAAATTCCGTTTTTTCGTACGCTGGTTCCAGAAGAAGAGTTTTTACTACGATAACAGATTTTCCCGAATAGATTCTAGCAGGTACTGGAACAGAGCATGTATTTTCTTGATGCGTATTTGCCTTTTCATGTTAGGAAGAAAGTGGCTGTGTAAGAGGTCAATTATTTTAATTTTATTATTTCTTAAAATTTTAAATTAAGACGGTAAAGTAATTTCAAATAGGAATATCCATCTCTGCATTTTCTGCAATTTACCTTATCTGTGTAAACATTGGATTTATAAAATATGGTCTGTTTCAGAATGATATTCCCATGATACAATGAATTCAAGGTAGGGCAGAACTACCATATGATTTCAATTTTTTTATTTTCTTGGCTTAATATGTCATCTTCATTTATTTATGTATGTGTTTTCTTTTCAATAACAACAAAATTGTTCAGAAAACATTCAAATTCGGATGTTTTCAAAATGTTTATTTCATCGTATGCATCAACAAAATCTAGAGTTTTTGTAGCGAAATAATCCTTTAGAAAAACAGGTAGACCTCTATACTTGCAATTTTTTCAAAGTTGGCCTACCTTCTCTTTATAGTACCATGGATATTCCCTTTATGATATCGAAAAATATGCAAAACTAGTAAATTCTTCCAGGTTCTGGAACAGACCAATAAATTTTGACATTGTTATGTTTTAAATAAATAATTGAAAAAATGTAAACATATGATTGCATGACTTTACCTTCTTAATTCTACCATGTGTATGAGAAATTATATTTGAAATTGAATATATTATTTGAATAAAAATATTAGATGTTTAGCAATACAAATACAAAATAGAGAAATATTTACATTGCATAATGGAAATACAAAAATATTTTTAAACTGTAAAAATGTTCAGAAAAACGTATTGTATTAATGATGCAAAACTCTTAAAACACACAATTTTATCCGTTGTTTACATCAGCGCGCATTTTTAAAATGCAATGAGAACATGGTCTTAGGACTTGTGATTGTGGCTACAATCGACAAGCATGCACGTCGTACTTTAGATGGGCATGCAAAAGTCGATAAATTTTAGTCAACTTGTCAATAATTTGGAGAAGTAATTAATTTATTTAGAAAAATTGGACCGAAATAGACATGTTCCTTAAAACTTTCAAATTGAAAAGTAATGCACCACTTAAAGCTTCGGAAGCTAAAAAATTACGAGCTCGTCTATTAACAGAATACCCTGACGCAAATTCGGAAGTTTTAATACCGCCGAAATCGAATGTTACGACGTTAAAAATAGTAACTTGTGGTGAAATACAGACGTCTGTTTATTGTGTGGACAAATTGCCTATTTTCTTTGAAAATGAAGAAAAAAAGCTTGTGCCAACAATATACGCGCTTTGGAAAGTGAGTCTCATTAGATTTTTATGAATACACATACAAATTCAATTTTTAATATCTCAATTTAATCTTTTTTTGAGAATGTTTATATTGGAACAATGACTTAGATCAAGTTGAAGGTCTCCTTACGGATCTTTGTAAAAGTTTAACCATGTGTAGCGTATGGGGTTTTGTTTAAAACTGCAACGTCTACTTTTTTTTGCGGAAATCTATATTTCCGAAAGTTTTTGAAACAAGGATTTCCATGATATTGCTTATTATCATAAAGAATTCCATCTTTCAACACCCACAAAAACTCATATTAAAAAGATATTTTGTGACTTAGCCTGTGTTGGAATTTGCCCATAGTTGAAATTCTTGAATTATGGCCAGAGACCAGCCGCCTAGAAAGACAAGAACTTTTAACATAAGATTTTGTTGATTTGTGGAGGGTTTGGGCTCACTCGTTAACAAGGCTTACATCCCTACTGCTTTAATCCATATTGCGTTCAGGGGCTCATATCCCGATTCCGATCCCCAGAATTCTGAAAAATGTTACAAAAGTTCCTCGAGGGACCATAAACTGAACTTGTTCCCAGACTAACATTGATAGATTCTTTTTACGTCGAATTGTAGGTGCCGGATTTATTACCATACTTTACTACTCATCCGGCAGTTCTGCCCAAACTAAACAATGGTGCCGATTTGATGCTGCCAGGAGTAGTAACTCATGGGAAAGGTGGTATGTACGTTTACGGTCACTACAAAAAAGGTCAATTGGGTAAGATTTCCATTTCTATATGGTATAACAAGCGGAATGCCTTCATGAGATTTTACTTTATTTTAGTTGCTGTAAATCTAACGTCCAACAAACATGCTGTTGGCGTTGGCGTTTTACCTCGTTCGAGCGAAGATTTATACATGTGCGGTGGGCATGGTGTCGCCGTTAAAATGTTACATTTGTTTGGTGATAAATTATGGGGTATCGAACCACAACTAGCTCAACAAGTACCAGAATTTAAGACTACGTTGTCAGAGGATGACTTTCCTGAATTAGGAAAAACACCAAAGCTAAAGAGAAACGAAGAGCAAAAGCTTGAAACCCAAATGAACGAAAACGTTGTGCTTGATCGATTTGAAGACCTGAGTATTAAAAGTGAAACTTTGCAAGAAACATCAGAGGATTCAGTGATCGATAATAAAGAGAACCTTGTCGGAAACGAAGTGAATATAACAGACAACGATAATACAAATGATGTTACCAGCCCAGAGCAAATACTGAAGAACGCATTTCTATCAGCATTAAAGAACCATGGCAAAGCTTTACAACTGCCATTGCTAACTAGCAATTTTTATCGTCTTTATGTCGTACCTGAAGCTCAAGAAGCCATAGACATAAAGAAAACGAAATACAAAAAGTTATCGAATTTTCTCAATGAAATGATTGAAGAAGGCTTTATAGTTGTAAAGGAGGAAACCAAGGGTGTTGACAAAATAACATATGTTGATTTGGAACACCCTGAGTTGGTTAATTTTATTACAGATTATAAAAAACCGACAGCTAACAGTGACGGAACCATGGAAAATTCCTTATTCCATTCCGAATTAATGGAGTTGTATACAGTAACTGACTCGACGGCTCCATTTTTCACAAAAATTAACTACAAACGAGGAGAAGGGATACCAGCATCTAAAATAAAAAAAGTTATTCGCGAATATCTAAATGTACACAATTTGCCACTGTCAAAAGACTCTACTGCGGAGCCAAAGTCATACGAGCTAGACGAATGCTTACAATCGATATGTAAAACGAAGACTGCAACATTATCCAACATCATTGCTCTCATTACATCACAAATGCAGCATTCTTACCAAATGTGTACAGTAACGAACGTGTCGAGCAATAAACCTATGATTCAAATGTCTTTAGCAACTCGATCGGGGAACAAGAAAGTGACGTTGGTTAGTAATTTAGAGGCTTATGGAATAATATTGCCAGAGTTTGTGAAATTGTGCAAACAGGGAGCAGCTGCCAGCACAACAATTGTATCCCTTCCTAACCAGAAGGGGGATATGCTACAGATACAAGGGAACCAAGTCAGATTTATTTACAATTTGCTCACAGAGAAATACAAAATACCAACAAAAAATATTTTGGGCCTAGAATTAGCTAAAGATGGTAAAAAGCACAAGAAGAAATAAAAAAATAAATAATTACATGACAATTACCCGACTGAGTTTTGTTGGCTCCGACCGTTGCAGTTCTTAAATCTTTTTTACTGTTTTTGATTCTATAAAATAGAATCCCACTACCAATGTTCATTTATTTAAAAAATATATATGAAACAAAAAACATATCGCTCATTTATTCAAAAGATGTCACAACTAAAAACTAACGACTTTCGAAAAAAAACTCATTTTAAGTTATCGATTGAAATTTGACTTCCCAAATTAAAAAAGATTATTACACAAAATATAATATATGTACTTAGTCAATTATTTGCGAAGAGGTCATAAGAAATCAGTACTAAATTTCTATGAAAGGTCAATATACTGTTTTATTGATTTACAAGTTCTACATATACCAACATGAAAATTTGATAAAGCAAATAAAAACGTTTTGCAGGAAAAAATTAAGGTGCCTTCTTCGAGTTATGCTACTCATTAAGTAAAGAACCGATATGTCAATATCGCACAATCTGTTTTTATATCCTGCACCTTAGAAAGGAGGGTATATTAAAAATATAATTTTGTTTGTAATACCTGTAGTTGTCGCAGACACCTTAAAGTACATATATTGAAGGTCAGCATAATATTTTAAGTAGATTTAACGATGTCCACCTGTCTGTAGTCCGATACAGTACAGATTTTTTGATATACAACTTTGAAATTTGGCACAATGGTTTGTATTTTGTCTAGGATGACTGGTATTGTTTTCGTATATCCCCCATTGAACAGCACCTCCCGATACAAGGTATTTTGATGATTTGAATGATATGTTTTCACGGAATTGTTCAAAATTTGATATTGAGAGTTTGTAACGGTAGCTGAACTAGTCTGTATAGGTCCACGTTTTACTATACCACCCATATAACGGTAACTTTGGATATTCGGTATTTCGGCGATTGAAGCAACATTTTCTAATGAATTTGTCTAAAATTTGGTGTTCATAATGGGCAGAGCATGTATATATAGGTTCACGTTTCCTATAGCTACCATATAATGGTATTTTGGTCACTTTATTTTGAATTTGGTATTTACAGTTTGTAATGGGTTCTACCTTTTGTGCCATATTTTTGTCTATATAGGTCAACGTTTTCCTATAGCCTACAAATAACGGTACCTGTTGCTTTTTACCTATTGATGGAGGGTATTGAAATTTGTTATATGAGAGTTCACTTCAATTCAACTGCTATGAATCATTTTAATTGGAAAAAAGGAAGGTGTAAGGTATATGAATGATGAAATAATACAAATAGCCACATCAACACATCCGATGGTACAATGAGCTATTAACACTTTTTCGGATTTATTTATTTTTTGTTTTCAATAATTTCAAATTGAAACCAAAGTACACATGTACATGATGTGCATTTTTGCAAAACTTGAAGTTGAGTTCTGCAGATATCAGCATGATAATTTGATAGAAAAATAAAGTAAGTTTCGTAAAAAATAGTTTCGTAAATAATCTGTTCTGAACACACATAAATGGAATGGAAAATTAAATTTTGATACGTTTTTATTTTCGTTTTAATATTTTTTTTTTTAATTTGTTTGAATTGTAAAGATTCAATAATTGGCAGAATGCTGCAAAATGTAATAGCAAATTAAAAATACTACAAAATGTAAAAAATCCATTGAAAAATGTCACCATAATTTTAAAAAATTGAATAATTGGACTTAAATTTGTATTGACAATTCTGTCACAGGAAATTGTACCCATTACGAACTCGAAGTACAAATTTCGGCAAAAAAAAGTGACACAAATCATCAAAATACCGAATATCTTGAGGTACAGATAGGCGTTACAAACGGAATGACAAACTTAATATATCTTTCATACCATGGTGGAGGTTATAAAAATGGAAATAGATGCACTTTACTTCTGTATTGAACCTTGTTTTTACCTGCAAGAATCTAATAGTTCTGACATTTTTCGATATTTTCGAGCAAGTTGAGTTTTTTAACCTAGTTAAGGGAAATAATTATTTTTGGGTTATTTGACCCGAAAGTTCGAATACAACATCCGGTTTTTATCCGGTTCTACAAAATGGGTATCATTTGAAAGCTTGTGGAACCGGTTCCGGAGTAATCCAAGAAAATTGGTATTTTTATGTCATTCCTTTAAAAAACAAGTTAAAAAGCAGTAAGTTCGGCCGGGCCGAACTTTTAATACCCTCCACCATTTGCAACAAATTTGGAAATTTTCAAAAAATAAAATACTTAAAAAATTCTATTAAAATTTTAAAAATACCGAATATAGCCGTTATATTGGGGTCTATACGACGTGGACATTCATATGCATTGTTTGTCATAAGCCATTGCCATATTCAAATTCGAAACTGGACCCGCACCGACAATATCAAATTTTAAACAATTCCGGTTAATAATGTTGCTAAAATCATCAAAATACCGAACATAGCGAGGTGCCGTTATATGGGGCTATACGAAGACGTGGACCTGCACAGACAATTTTCAGTCTTAGGGTGTAGTATCCATTTGGAACTTCAAACACCAAATTTGAAACAATTCCAGTGAATGATGTCGCTGAAATCATCAAAATACCGAATATAGAGAGGTACCGTTATATTGGGGCTATACGAAGACGTGGACCTGCAAAGACAATTTTCTGTCTTAGGGTGTAGTATCCATTTGGAACTTCAAATACCAGATTTGAAACAATTCCCGTGAATAACGTCGCTAAAATCATCAAAATACCGAATATCGGGAGGTACCGTTATATGGGGGCATAGACTTGCACAGTCAATTTTCTATCTTAGGGTGTAGTATCCATTTGGAACTTCAAATACCAAATTTGAAACAATTCCGGTGAATAACGTCGCTAAAATCATCAAAATACCGAATATAGGGGGGTTACCGTTATATGGGAGCTATATGTAAACATGGCCCATTTACGAACTTACTGGAAAAATAAACATGTGCGCAAAATTTTAGCCATCTAGCTCAATTCATTCGAAAGATAGCTTGATTACAACAGAGAGACAGACGGACAGACGGACATCGCTAAATCGACTTAGAATTTTACGCTGATCAAGAATATATATACTTTGTTGGGTCTGACATGAGTATTTCGAGGAGTTACAAACGGAATGACAAAGTTAATATACCCTCCATAGTATGGTGGAGGGTATAAAAAAACCCTAAAAAGAAGAAAATGGTCTTCGGCCAGGGATTAAGATTTTCTCCCCTGGCGTATGTCTAACACCGGCTACGCGATCCGTAGTTTTTCTAAACATTGTAATTTTTGTAACTAGCAGGCCTTCGCCCGAGGCTTTAGTTTTTCTCCGCTGGGATATGCCTCACACCGGCTACACGATCCACAGTTTGTCTAAACTTTATAACCTTTGGAAGTAAACGGAATTCGACTTTAAAGTCAATACATTCGGAACTACAAAGCTATAATGGTTAGATATATATTAGTAGAGAAAACCTCAATTTCATGAATTGCAACACCAATATCTTCGGAACTACTAGAGATAATATGGCACCATTTTGGAAAGGCCAGAGTGTATGCTACAACGTATTGTGCTTTTTTCTATGGCTTTTCCCGGTACAAAAATACCAATTTTCTTGTATTACTAGAGAACCGATTAAAACCAACCGATCATATGACCACTTGTTAGATAGGTGTTTCTCTAAGCTTTCAAATGATAACCATTTTGTAAAAGGTTAAAAGGATGTAAACTTCAGGTCAATCTGAGCATAGCCCCTAAACTCAACTTAAACAAATTGTTTTCATTTATTTGATATTATTTGTTTATTTTTTAAAATGGTATTATTTGATTTATTTGTTTATTTTTTAAAAATAGTGCGAAAGAGGAATGAAATACCTCTAAAAAAAATATGATCCTAAGTGTTCAATCTTTCAATTCCAATGCAAATCTGCTTAATATCGCCCCGCAATTTTAGTTTCTTCCAATAATTGATTTTGAAAATATATAGTTTTTATTTTTCAAAACAACAAATACATACACAAAATTGGCAAAAGTCGGGCACACTTAGAAAAAAATTCTACCTTACCTCTTCATTTACCATAGGTGATCGTAGTATTCTTGTAGTTCTGGAACAGAGCAATTGAAATATATTGAAAATTCCAACATTGTGTAAAAAGTGGAAATCATGAATGAAAAGTATGTATTTTTTTAAAGAAAAACATATTTTGAATTTATGATGTTATTTGCTGCGTCTATTTTTATTAATTTTATATGTTCATTGGTTCAAATTGTAATAAAACGAGGAAATAAAGTAAGAATTTATAAATCATGTTACTACATTTCATGACCGTTTGAACGGGTTCGCTCGTGTACGTAATTCTGAGAGCGAACAACGTTGTTCTAATTCTAATGGAAACATGCTATTAGGTAGACCTTTAACCATGGTAGAAGAAATATATATGTAGATGCATCAACGCTTGCGAACATTGATATGTCAAAATGTTAAAATTGTTTTGTCAAAAATAAGTAGACAATTTTGGAACAACTCTAGTTTAGTAAAAACTCTTAGATTTTTTCGAAATTTTTTCCAGAGGTAGGTATTTTTACCCTGATCCCGGGAAACTATTTTTTTCTTGGGGGACGGACCCGGGACCCCAGATTTTTGACCCGAAAGTCCGGGATCAAGACCCCGCCTGGACCTGGATCCACTTACCCGATATAGACAATATGGGTATCGATTGAAAGCTTATGGAAATACCTATCCAACAAGTGGTCACATGAAGGGGTAAGTTGGCTCGGAAGTTATAGTCAAATTATCGATTTTTTGGACCCGGATTTTTTATGAAACCCCCAAAAAGTCAAAAAAGGGCCCATTATGGGGGTCAACAAAATTGTTTCCAAATTATAGCTGACACTCTGACCTTTCCAAAATGCTACAATTTGTGCTAATACCTTTTTCGGGTCCAGAGATATGGGTCTTTCCATCCGCATAACGCGATTCTAACCAGTTCATTAAAATGATGTTTTCAATAAAAAAAGTGTTTATTTCGCGT